TATCTTAGAGTGTCTGATTCGGGCTGCAAAATATAAATTTATCATTGATTAGAATACATAAAATCCAGACTTCCTGAAGAAAGGCAGCATCTTCAGTTGAATATCTAAAAAACACTGAAAAATATCTTGTCCTGAAATCACCTTTATAAGAGCTTTTGTAAGCCATCTATTGATAAGTTCTGGAAAATGTGGTTTCACAGAAACCTCAAAATAAATCTAGGATACCTAGCTGAAAACTGTTTCAGTTCACCTCCAAGCCAAATGAAGAGTAAGCAGTTTTCAAGCTGCTTTGCCTTTGCTGCTGCACAGGTGACAGACCTCCAGCAGGATCAGCTCAGGAGCTTTCAATAATACAAAATTCATGCAAAAGCTTTGAAAGCAGACGACCGGTCTTGTTATCCACACAGAAATGATTTCCAATCTCCTCTGACAGCTCCAGTACTGCAGAGGATAATACTGATGCCTTTTGCTTTAAGAGCTGCAGCGAATGCTGCTCTTTGGTTGCAGATCCACAACGAGCACTCATCTTCACTTTCCATTTTCTATTCCAGGAAAAAGGAGTATATGTCCAAAAAAATGACTGGCCTCGACAGGATAATGAACGAAAGGCATTTGTTCCATGGCACCTCCCAGGACGTGGTGGACGGGATCTGCAAGCACAACTTCGACCCGCGTGTCTGCGGGAAGCACGCCACCATGTTCGGACAGGGCAGTTACTTTGCCAGAAAGGCGAGCTATTCCCATAACTTTTCCAAAAGGTCACCCAAAGGAGTTCATTACATGTTCTTGGCTAAAGTACTGACGGGAAGATACACGGTGGGCAACCACACCATGCGGAGACCTCCCCCCATGAACCCGGGCAGCATTACCAGTGACCTCTATGACTCTTGCGTGGACAATTACTTTGAGCCTCAGATTTTTGTCATTTTTAACGATGATCAGAGCTACCCTTATTTTATTATCCAGTACGAAGAAGTTAGCAACACTGTCTCCATTTGAAAACCTGTGCTGCTAAATTATTCATTTTAATGAACTCTTATTGACATTTGTAGCGGGTTTTGTGTAAAAAAAAATAAATAAATTGAACATTGCAGAACTGAGTAAAATTACTTGCTTGCAAGGAGTTAAATCTAAAACTATAGAAAGGAAGATCTGAAGTGACCAATTGTGCACTTGCTGTTTGATGATGTATGTGCAAATTGTAAATATTTTTCCATTGTTTATAGTTGAAAATCTGTGCCTTTTGTTATAAAACACTGTTTATTTATGTTAGTAAATATTCGTGTTTAAGGTTGTGTTTGTGTGGATAATTTTGGTTGCCTTTTGTGCGTATCACACTTACCAGAAATCTGATCTTGAACTCTCAGGGATGGCCACTTCTAGACAGAATCGTGGAACCCTTTAGGTTGGAAAGGACCTTTGGGACCACTGAGTGTAACCAGTGACCTGACCTACTGTGTCCTGCCCGTAAAACGTGTCGCTCAGTGCTGCACTCACACATCTCTCCACACCTCCAGCCATGGGGACTCCACCACCTCCCTGGGCAGCCTGTTCCAAGGCTTGGCCACCTCTGTGTGAAGAAATTCTTCCCGATGTCCAACCTAAACCTCCCCTGGCGCAACTCGAGCCTGTTTCCTCATGTCCTGGATAATCCGAACCAGATAATTTTCATCCCAAGCACACTCAATGCCTCTCCTCCCACTCCCCCTTGCTGTTGTTACTGCCCTGAGCTTTTCTGTGTGCTGGCACTGAGGTTTCTGGGGCAGGATTTGTCCCTTCTGTGGCCGCCAGCTCCCTGCATGCTGCTGGGCTGTGGTGCCGAGCTGGCTCTGGGTTTCCTGCAGCACAAATAAATAATTGTGTCGTCTTGTCCTGCTTTTGGTGGCCTCGCCTGAAGGAGCACAGAGCTGTGGTGCATGGAGGTGTCCTGCCAGGCACCGCCTGTCCCCGCGTCCCTTCTGCTGGAGGGAATTTGGTCCTGCTGGCTCCAGCACCACAACCAGCACGGCTGGCACGGGGCTTCAGCGGCAAATATGGCACAGAGGTTGTTCCACGAACTCAGCAGTGTGGGCAACACATCTTCTGAGCTGTTTTTACATGGAAACTTGAGGTTCTTGCACAATAAGGGGAACTGGGAGCTCAGTTCCAGCACTGGAGAGCAGCTCCTGCCCCTGGGGCTCCGTGTTGCCCAGAGAGGATGCCCCGTCCCTGGAGGCGTTCAGGACCAGGTTGGATGAGGCCCTGAGCAACCTGGTTTGGGTGGGCTCCATCCCTGCCCACGGTGGGGGTTGGAACCAAATGGGCTTTGAGGCCCCTTCCAGCCAGGCCACTCTGATTCCATCATTCTGTGACTGTGCCCTCTGTCACCAGCACTCAGCAGCGTCACCTCCATGCTAACATCACAGCAAATGGAAAAAGCCTCCCAATTAATGCTTCTCTTACGGCTACGAGGTCTGCTTTTATGAGAACATTTTCCCTTCCACTGGACAACAATGTCAGATTGACCTAAGGGTTGTTCTTTCCCGAATTTCCGTCGGGCTCCCTTTTCCCCAGCCAGATGGGTACAAGTTGTCTCAAACGTACTCAGCCCATTATAAATCACCTCCCGCTTCTTTTTTTCCTCCCCGTTCTCACGCATTGATGCGCGTTTGGGTTTGTTTGGTCTTGCTGCAGGTCCTGCTGCAATCTGCACCCCTCCTGAGCTGCCCCGCACACCGCTGTTTGCCAAACTTCACCCGGAACGAATCCGTGGCCTCTCCCCGCAGCAGCTCCAGCAGGACAGGGGCTGGTCCTCACCTGGGCTGTCTGCGTGGAGCAGCTCTGAGGCCAACTTCTCCTTTCTCGGCCAGCAGCCCCCTGCCAGGAGTTTCGCTGCCGATTTCACGGCTGGAGACCGGCAGGGAAGAGACTGCCCCAGCTGCGGGGGCACGAGCACAGCCCCGACGTGTTCCTTGCTGTAACACTGCATCGTGATCCTAACACAGGCACTGCGTTTCCTCTCAGTTTTGAGGTTCCCCGTGGTTTCATTCTCGAATATCACAAATAGGAGACCCCTGGGGGCGACCTGCCGCAGCTGGGGGCTGCTGCTGGGCATGGCAGGCACCAGGGGCACCGGGGGCACCGGCAGCGCTGGGTGCAGGGGAGAGGGAGAGTGAAAAGGAAAGAGGGAAGTGATTTATGAAAAGTGAGAATTGGTTTCTCGTGAGGGAGAGGAAGGGAGAGTGAAAGGAGCAGGAACAGAAATTGGGGAAGGGAGGGTAAGGAGCGCTCAAGGAAACGTCCACCAGGAAACCAACGGGGAAGAAACACCCGCAGAAAGAGGGAGCGGGAGAGAGGAAACTTCAGGAAATGGAAAGGAAGGCGCCAACGGCTGGAAATCAACAGTCAGGAAACAAAAAGTAGGCGAAAAGCAAGGAAATCCAACCCCCGGGTGCTGCTGTTCAGGAGCAGAGGGGCTCTGCGAAACCAGGTGCAGCTTCACAGCGCCTCGGGCCCCCGCCGCCTGCCAGGGCCATCTCTCAGCAGGGCTCAGTTTGGTTTTGTTTTGTTTTTTTGGAGGGGTACTTAAAAAAAATCTTAAAAAATTTTGCCTTTCAGCCTGGATGTCAAAGCTGACCAGTTCAATGAAACCAGGGCTGCTCTGCCCTGGGTGAGCCCACGCTCTCCTTACCAAAAACCTTTGAGAAGGAGCAGGGCAGGGCTGCCCAGCAGGCCGTGTGCTCCTCCTCGCGTGTGCCCGCAGCTCGCAATTAGGCTAATTAGGGTGTTGCAAACCAGGCAGAACTGGGCCAGCGCGGTCCCTGCCCAGCTGGTGTGTCGGGCGGGACGAGCGGGGACACGGCGGGGCCGGGGAGCAGCCCTCCTGCCTGGGGAAGGGCGAGCTGCGGGGGCACCAAGGGCCCCGTGCACGGTGCTGCCTTGGAAGCAGCACAAAATGGCAGGAGGGAGCTGCGGGTACACGCAGGTATCTCCGTTCCTGCTCCTTCTGGAAGGCTTTCTGCGGGAGGAAATGGAAATCCTGAAGCCACTGCCCGGAGTGGCACCAGAAAAGCACCCAGAGATCTGTCAGGGTGTTCTTGTCCTGCAAACACCTCACCGCGACGGGCAGCATCCGCACCAAGAACAACAGCGGGCACAATGCGAGGGCTGAGCACTGCCAGCAAAAGCTGGCTCGGCCTCCTGCAGTTACCACAGCCCCTGAGGAGCAGCCCGATGCCGATGCCTGCCATAAACCTGCTCTTGCTCATCCCGGGTGGGCCGGGCCCTTCCCTCGCGGCGAGGCCGGGCCCAGCTCCCTCGCCCCGAGCTCCTCTGGCCCCACGGCGTTTCCCGGCCTCTCATTTCCCAGGCTGTCTGGCCTCTGTCTGTGCATTTCAAACACCAGCAAATTTAAGCGTAGTAACCACCCCCATTAATTAAATATCAGCAGCTTATTAAAAACAGCTCTATTGGGGTGACATCACTGGTCATAAGAGGGGCTGTGGGCCTGCTTAGGTGAGCGCCTCCGGCTGCCCCCTCCTCGCCCAGCAGCTGCCGGGGGATGCTGGAGGCTGCCCTGCTCGTCCCCTCGGCCGGGGAGCCAGCTCCAAGCCTCGCCTGTCTGTCAGCCCAGCAATAAATGGCACGGACGGGCCTGGTTATCAGTAACCCCGGGCAGCACGATAAGAGCCGCAGCCGGCGTGGATGCTCCACCTGTGCTGTGACCGCGCTGCTGTGGGTGGCCACGGGCACCCTTCACCAGGAGGCACCACCACGGCTGTTAGCAAAGGGCTATGGAAGCAGCTCCCCAGCTGAAACGCACGCACACGGCCGGGTCTGCTGCCAGGCCCCTCAAATTACAGCTTACACACCTGCAATTTTTGGTAAATGCCCTGGTGAGTTTCTTCATGCATGGGTGTGAGAGCAGCAGAACCCGCCCGCGCAGCACGGCCGGATGGCTCCTCCTCGCCTTGCTCCTCCAACACCCCCGGTGGCCTCAGCACGTGGCACCTGGCGAAGGCTTTCTTTTTTTTTTTTCCTTTTTTTTTTTTTTCCTTTTTTTTTTTTTTTTTTCCAAAAGATGCAGTTTTTCCATGAGTTTCTCTCCGAGCTGGGATGCAGGGTAAGAATTTAAAGGGCTGTGATAATGTTGCGGATCAGGTTGTAAGGCATTTTATGCTCTTTTCTTCATGGAAAAAGTCAGGCTGGGTGTTTGAGTGCACTGATATTTCAATAATGCACAGGATTTCTTTTGTTTTGCACGCCAAGACAAATCACGCACAGATGTACAAGAACCGGGACCTCCATGAGAGAAATCTCCCGCAGCTCAGGTTTGTGCAGGGGTTCACAGGGCTGCCCACCGGGACAGGATTTTATTGAAAATGCCCTTACAGCACGCCTGTTGTGCCAGGCTGTGCAAAGGCCTTGGTACGGAAATTTTGCAGTAAATACCGCTATGGAGACCGATTCCTGTTTATTTCCCATGAACTCAGGGTTTGCTTCGTCAGACTAAATGGCTGTAGTTCTCGCCCTGATAGCGGTGAGGCCGATGCGCTGCCTGATGTCTTTTCCAGATAATCTTCAGCTGCGATCTGCTGAAGTCAGAAGGCTGCAGCTGCCGGAGATGCTGCGGGTGCTCGCTCCCTCCCTGCTGCCGTCCCCATACGCAGGGCATTAAGCATGTGAAGCAGATTTCAGAAATGTTCAATAAAACCGCAGAAGTGTTTATAGGAGCCTACGTTTTTTTTACCACGTTCTGGAGGCCGTTAGCCCCTATAATGCACACACACCAACAATTACTGAGAGCTCCACGCCAGGGGAGCCACAAGCCTTGCGTAGCACGAGGGCACGCTTGCTGTGGTGCTGGGGATGAGGGGCTGCGATAACAGCACGGCAGCGGTCGTTCTTGAAGAATAAGATGCCAAAGAGTGCGGAGGTTGCCTTGGGAAGGAGCAGCGATGGAAACGAGTGGTGTGGTGGATCAGCAGAGGACGGGGATCCCGCAGCGGATGGCAGCGTGCGAGCTGCGAGATGATCTCTGACCTAAGAGGCTTAGAGCCCAGCCGGGGGCGAGCGGCAGGAGGAACAGACTCGGTGGGAGTGTGAGCCGGGGGGATTAGCCTGGTGACAGAGGCAGATTGCACAGATTAGCCACCGGTGGCACAGGGCTGCCGTGTCCCCGAGGAGCCCCCGATGGCTTCTGCCGGCTCTCTCCTCTCCTCTCCCCGCAGCCCTGCCCCGCAGCCGGTCTGGCCCTATGCAAACCAGCCAGTGCAGGCAGCACAACTCCTAGTGCCAGCATCTCACATCACCAGCTGGGACTTTTTGGTGATTTCACCAGCCCTCATGGAGGTCCAAGCCAGAAATGTGTTTAAATCCTATCGCTTTCCACACAGCTCAAATGCACGCTTAGAGTTAAGCAGATGCTAGGTGCTCTCCTGATACGGGGTGCCAGTAGTGGCCTGGGGTTTTGCTTCTCTTTTTGCATTAAATCGCGTGCTGTTATGGCATAAGTAACGTGCCTGAACTGCTTTGGTGATCCTTGTGTCTGAAAGTGTCTCGTGGCTTTCAGAAGGGAGGGAAAGCAAAAAGAGATGTTGCCGTTGTATTAAACAAAGCTCTCAGCAAATCCCAGCTGCCAAGCAGGGGAGCATTACCCCTCGAGAAAGAAAGAAAGAAAAAAATAATAATTTGGTCTTCTAGGGTGCATTTTCCTTTTGCTGTGCCTCTGCAAGGCCAATTAACGTTAATGGGAGTTGTATACACCAGCCCAGAGCAGAACAGACCCTTACAGGAGGACCTCGTTAGCTCTTTCTGACTGTGGTTTTCATTCCGAGTTGCTAAATTTTATGGATTAGCAAGAATGCTAACAAATATGGAAAAGCAATCCTGGCTGTTGCCATACCAAAGTGCTTACTTAATGATTTTTAACGAGTCAGGTTTGAGAATGAATTGGTGGGACCATTTATAACTAGACCTCTGGAAAAACTATACAAAGGCAATGTGATCAGCCAGCTGTACAAATATCCCACCGCCTGCTCCTGACCTCTTCCACTCACACAGTGTAATTCCCTGAGAAACAGTTTCCAAGGGAAAAACACTCGAAATTCACATAAACTTTGCTTTCTCGACCTGCCAAAGAAGAGGGGGTTGCAAAGGGAGTCACGCATAGGAGAGCACCCCCAGGATCTCCTGGGGACAGCAGCGGTGCGAGGACTGCCCATCTCCAGGGATAACGCTGCGAGCCCCCAGCCCGGAGCCAACTGAGCTGGTATTTTCAAGGACACTGTGTATTTAAGACAACTATGAGAAACCTGCAGCCTCTGACATCATTCCTCTGGCCTAAGGATGCTTGATTTTTCCCACGTTATGGTGGGATAACGCTGGATGTGTTTCATGTGTGGTCTCCCAATGGCATGTGAAGAGCCCTCAGCAAGGAAAGATTCTTCCTTGTTTCTTCTTCTCCCCATGGGTTTGAGCGATGCCATTGCAAGAGGAAGGCAGGTTCAGCAACAAAGCTCTTTCTCATCCCTCTCTTACCATACACACCATGGAGGCAGACATTTAAAGCCATGTAATTATTTAAAGCAGGCTGTCCTATGTAAGCACCAGCAGCGCCCACAAATTCCTCGGCTTGGCTCTGCAATCGCGTCCCTGCAAGGCCAGCGATGGGAAATCAGCCTCATTTTTAAAGAGAAAAAGTTGAAAATCGTGAAGAAACGCAGGTTTTGAATAGGGAGATGTCCCTGAGCAGCAGCAGGAATTTCATCCAGCTGGTTTCCTGCAGCATGCCCTGCATCCTCCCCAGCACAGCCCCTGTCCCGTGGCAATTCCTCGCCCCTCACAGCCCGACCGACGGAGAGGCGACTGCCGGAGCACGAGGGGCAGTGAGCAGCCCCCCCAAGCTCAGCTCATTATCTCTATCAAATGAAAGCAAGCTGCATTCATGGGGAGCTTTCGAGGGCCTGGAAAGTCTCAGGACTGCCCGGATGCTCTCTTTCCTTCCCTGCAGTCAGCTTCAAAAGCATTTCTGTTCTTGTCTGCTTCTCCATGGAATATTTTCCATTCTTAAATTGATTATTTGCCCTTTCAAACGTTTCTGTATGAGGATTTATGCTGCTCCAATGAGGCACATGAACAGAAAGCTGAACTCTAAAAGCCGTGCTGCCGTGATTACATATCTCTGAATTGCCATTTTTTTCTCCTGACTGCTCACCCTGAGCATCCACTTATCTCTGTCTGCATCTCTGCTCTGCACCAGACAGGTCTCGCTGCTCTGGGCTCGCGGCAGGGCAGACATCATTCATTGTTCTTCCCCCAGCCGACACGCAGGCCGAGCACTGCTATGAGAGCACCGCTCGCATTTCACCACTTTGCTTTTGAAATTCTGTTACGTTAAATCGTGCCGTGCCCTGGCTGGGGCTCACTTGCATTTTTTTCTCTAGTTTGCAGGAGAAGCTGTAGCTGGCGTGCCAGCTGGGGCAGGCGGGCTCAGGGCTGAGTTCAGGGTTGCCCAGAGCGGTGGCAGGCAGCGAAGCCTCCAAATATATCTGGGTGAGCAGAGGAAGGGGACAGCCAGGCCCCAGGGACTGGGTGGGAGGACAGGGAGAGCCATGAGAATGCCCAGGGAAGAAGGGATTGGCGGTGTCCTCTTTAATCTCAGGCTGTCGCCGGTCCATCAGTCCTCTCCCTGCCTGCCTGCACTTCCCAGGCCGGTGGTGCCCAGCCTAGTTTACATCGCCTTCTTCCAGGGGCAGGACTCCGGCACAAACCATCCCACGGAGGGAGCGGGCTCCCGCAGCTGACCCCCACAGGCTGCCCGGCCCCTCTGCTGTCCTAGCCGTGGCTTCCAGGCTCTGCCATTTTACACCTACTTCGTGGGGTTGAACTTAACTTCCTTATTTCCAAAAAATCAAGCGAAGAAAAAGGGAAGTTTTTCTTTTTTTGTTTTTATTGTCATTTCCAGCCCAGCTTTTTCAATGCTATTTTTAGACTCCTGTATTTTAACGCTGTGGCATGGATTGCTGAGATTTCCCTTTGCTACCATAAAATAGATGATTTGCACTTTGGAGCTAGCAGTCAGACAGGAAACCCTTGCCTGTTGCCAAAAATGGGCTTTCTTTCACAGATCTGTATTTGTTTTAATTTCCCTTCGCAGCAGTGACACGCCAGATTAGCTGCATTGGTTTCTTGTCATGTTATGTAATGCCATATAACACGCCAGGCTTAACTGGAAACGAGCGAGCAATTTTGTCTCTGTTTGATTCACCAATGATGCACGCAGCTGGGAAGCGCTGGTGTGCGAGCACGCAGGGAGGGGGCTGCTTTCTCATCCCCGTAAAGAAGAACTGGCAGAAGGCAGAGTTCTGCAGGGAGCTTGAAATGATTGAAAACATAAACGATGATTCCTCTATGACTAACTGCCTTTGGGGCCTTGATATAGTTACCTTTTGCTGATCACACGTTTATTACAAGGCAAGGAAGCTGCAATGGGGTAGGCTGAAAGCTACTGAAGCATCCAGAGGTCTGGGTCCCCTTCCAGCGCTGCCAGGCCGTGAGCGACCTGCCTGCTTTGCTGTGAAATGGGAATCGGTCTGCTGATCCTGTGCAGTCTGAGAAGGAAAAGGGCTCTGTATAAATAACTTGCAATTAGGCCTCTCCGGATCAAAGCTAAGTCCCCAACACTCATGTCCTGTTGCTGCTGCGGCCGGTCCCTTCCTCTCAGCCAGGAAGGCATTACGTGGGCAGGCTTACGCGAAGCAATTTTTTAACATCTATTTTTAAGAGTTCTGAAAGGCGATACCTAAACGTTAGTCATTGCCATCCTTAAAATAAACCAGGAGGCAGCTCCAGGCACCTCGCCGTGCAGGGGGAGGCGGGGAGCAGGGCCGTGGTGTGGCCGGGCTCATTGCCCCTGTGGGGCAAGGCTTGGGGAGCGCTGTGCCAGCCCGCACGGCTCCTCACACCCCCTCCAAAACCACAGCTCGCACAGACATGGCCCAGCAGCACTGTGGCAGCCAGTTCCAGGACCAGGGGGCAGAAAGCTGTGCTTTATCTCACAGGATGAAGCCACCTCCCGGGGTTCAGCAGCTGTTTGGGGCAGCCCTGTGACCCTCAGAAGCGCTCTCCAAGGCACCCCACGAGTGCTGCTGTCGCGGGGGTGACCTGGCAAAGCCCTGCCAGCAGGTCAGCCCAGGCGAGTCGTGGGCTGCTGGAAATGAACAGAGAGCGAGGCAGCAGCCAGTGAGCAGATGATGCGAGACCTACATTCATTTCTCATGAGCAGATCCCTGGAGGCTAATGAAATCCCAGCGAATGTGCTGGCACAAATGCCTGCGCGCTGTTCTCACTGCAGCGTGGCGATGTAGAGGAATGTGCGTGTGAAGAACCAGGTCACAGGCAGCAGCGACAGGGAGTCGAGAGGCACAAATGCAGCCGGAGCAGCAGGTACTGGCCTCGATTTATTCCTCCGTGGCCTGGCCTGCAGTGAGCGGCTCCTCCATACAGGCTCCGTGCTGGGGACCAGGAGGCCAGGAGCCCTGCAGGCTCACGTCAGCTCCCTGATATGAAGTCAATTTCTAGTGAATGGACTCATGCTCACCCGGGCAGGCTGCCTGGATGGTGTGCTCTGACCAGGAGCTGCTGCCCTCGGTGCCGGGCTTGGTCACGTCCAGGCATGGGCCCTGCTTCCTGCCCCATGCTGTGGAGGCCATGGCTGCCACAAAGGCCAGCACTGAGCAAGCAGCCCTGTCTCACCACCTGCTACAGGCCACCAGCCCGACACGGTGTCACCTCCCTGACTTATTAATGCCTGCAGCACCCCTGTGAGAAGCTGCAGGGTTTGATAGCTGGCGGGTTGCACAAGGCAGGGGCTGAGTCAGTGGCCCAGGATGTCTGAGGAACAGGAATTGAATGCGGACCTCCCACGGCCACGGGCTGTGCTTCTGACTACCTGAAATCCCCTTCTTGTAATGGTTGTTTCAGGAGAAGAGCTGCTTTTCGATGCAGAAAGCTCCCCCTGGGCTGTTTGGGTTGGTTTTGGTTTTGTGGCTCGACTCCTTCCCAGTCTGCCCAGTGGCAGGGCAGCGTGCCTCACACCGGGCGGTCGCTCCCAGCAGAGGGGCTGCAAAAACCAGCAGGAGCCAGGGCCTGGCACCGAGGCAGAGCCCTCCGCCCTCCGGCACTGCCGATAACACGCCTGGTGTGTGAGCAAACAGGAGCTTTGTGAAGTGGGCACGGCGGGACAGCCCAGGCAAACAACCTCCCCAGGGCCACCGGCACGGCCGCGCTGGGGCTGCATTCTTTCGGGGCAGGGACCGGCCCTTATCGCGGGCGTTCAGAGCACCGAGCGCTGTGGACCTTAATCCTGATGGGGCCTCTAGGCGTGACAGCTATATCAATATTTAATGTGCAGAAGGTGACTTGTATCCCACGAGGGAGTGCTGATCCCCAGGCTGTGTGCGGGTGCTGTTCCTGGGCTTTGAGATACGATGCTGCCAGTAGCTGCCGGTGTATTGTGGGGTGTACTCAACCATTTACTGCACAAAGAGCAACCAGCAGCACGGGGGGGCTCAGTTTTCTGTAATTTTCTGTTCTGCAGGGAAGAAAAACATTGGCTGTGAAAGGAGCCTGTAAGCTGGAGGATGTGAGGTTTGCTCTTCTCCACAGCTTTCCTGTGGCTCAGGACGTGACTAATGCCCTGTGACAGCCACATGCCTGGAGCCTGCCTTTCTTACTGGCGCAGGTGGGGACGCTGCCTCTTCCCGTCACAAATGTTGTCCCTCGCTGTCCCACGTTACCCAGGGAGCAATGTCACCCCTGTGGTGTATTTGGGCAACTCTCCAGTCTGCCCTAACTTGTACCCCAGCGGCTGCAGCCTCCGTGGGCTTTCAAGAAGTAGGAGGCAACCCCCACGTCTCCTCTCAGCCTCCTGCTCCACAGGATGCTGTGGTGAGCCCAGGCTCAGCACGGCCAGCCCCTGCCTGCCGCAGACCCTCTATTTCAGAGCGTACCACAGAAAAAGCTCTGGCAAGTTGTGGCACCCCGGCGTGTCGATGTCACTCAGAAATTGCTGCCGCAGTTCACTGGTGCAAAGCTACTGGTGAAATATTATGTAAACAGGAAGAAAATATGCCTGTTCCCTTAGTGACTCCATAGTGACAGGCAAATGCTGTCCAATTTCACAATCGTCTCTTTCCTCTTATGGGTCAAGTTTTATTTGTTGGCTCTCCTGCCCGGGCGCACTGCTGTCAGGTGAGGGAGACAAGCTGGTTTCAGCCCTTCGCAGCACTTTGTACTCGCAGAGTGCTGCACGACACGGCCAGCCCTCCACGCTGGGCTGCCCCTGGACTTCTGACCTCCCACCTCTCCCTGGAGACAAGCTGCTAGGCAGCTAAAACATACACCGTGAGCCCCAGGCTCCGGTAAACAGCCGGACCTTAACTTATCCCGAGCCTTATCGGGGAGCGAAGCGGGGCAGAAATCCGACCTGAAGCCGTTCCACGTGCTGATCGTCCCTTGGAGCCTGGCAGAGGGGACACGGTGCTGGTGAAAGCTGCACCCCAAGCCTGGCTGGCACCAGACACGCTCTCAGCAGAGCTACAAACACTCCTTTGTGCATACCCCTGATAAGATACTTCAGTCTCCACTCCTGCTCCCAAAACATCTCAACAGTTCTGGGCCTTTTGCTGACCACCGTGCCAAATCCCTCAAGAGCTTTTTTCAAAGGAACAAAGCAAGCTAGAACTTTAGGCAAATGTTTTGCCTAAAAATTTCCTTCCTTAACCACTCGGGCTAATTGCAAATACCACACAGATTATGTAAATCACGACTTGCTGACAGGTAATTCACCGAAATGAGAGCCAACCCGATGGGACGAGTTGTGGTGTGAGCAGCTCCCCACGCTCTTAAGTGCTGTAGGAGACCTGAAGGAACCTGTAGGAGCCCACCCTGGAACGTGGCTCTGTTGATTTCTGTCCCAGGTCCCCCACAAGCCAGCTCGCGTGGTGGCGGTGATGCCTGCCACAATTCATTTAGCTACGCGAGCTCTCAGGAGCTGTCAGCTGAGCCAGCATCGGAGCCGCAGCGCGATGCAGGCCACCTGAGATGGCCACAGGCCACGATGCTGAGCTCACTTTTCTTTGTGCACCACTGCTGGTGCACAGCAGCCACATTTTTGCACTTCACTAATGTTACCTATATCAAGTAAAAAAATTACAGGCCCCTCTTTTGGACGGGGTCTTGCCCATACCCCATTTGAAGTCAAGGACTGTAAGAGGAAACGGGTCAGGCTCTAAAGCAGAGCAAGAAAATTCTTATTGTTTCGTATTTTCACCCAAGCTGTAATGCTAGGGCTGTATGTTAACAAGGTTGTAGCTACAGCGTGCAATCAGCACACACACATTATCTCCTTGTGGTGCATAAATTGGAATTGTCGGGCCATGCCATGGAAATGCAACATTTGCATTTTGCTATCAGGAGGTGCCAGGACATTACACTGCAATCGCAAATCAAGAGGTAATCCTGTGAAGTGGAGGAAGGAGCAGCCTAACCCACTGCAGAGGATTTGCTGTTATTTAGCGTTTTAAAAGGGCACCCGTAGCACCAGGAGATGGGGTGGAGCCTGAGGAAAGCTCCCAGACTGTTTCAGCAATAGGTATCATGGCATGATTTCAGGGCTTGCAAACCCTGACTGTCCTCAGTAATCCTCCTTCGTATGAACAATCCCATCCACTTAATTGCAGGCTGGGAGACTGCAACATCATCCTGGCCAGCTGGATCTCAGAATGATGTATGCAGGCCCTAATCTTGCTCCCAAATTCAAGTCAGTCTCGCCATCCTCCTTGATATCCCCGTTCCTGTAAACATCCAGGCTTCCTTCATTTGTTTTTCCTCTTTATCTTTCCCTGTTTCACGGTGACTGTAGCTCCTTCATCACAGGAGGATACACGCTTCTTCCAGTAGCTCGCCAAGGCTGCGAGGAACATCTGTCTTGTTTCAGCCATTCTCACACTCTTTGTTTCAGCGGGGAGGGCTATGTGTGCACTGGAGTCTTTTTTCTATTTTTTTTTTTTTATTGTAAGCCAGCAGTATAAACGTTCCCCTCCCTACAGATTGTGTGTTTAAATTAGGAGAGAGCAGATCTGCTTGTGGACAGGGGGAGGGGAAAGATTTATGGGGTTTCTGAGTTCCCGTGGGAGTTTCCTAGCAGGCCCCTGGGAAACTGCTGAGCCCCGCAGAGACGAACCTCACCCGTATGGATAAGGCTCTGCTTTGCCTTAGGAGCCATCAGACACATCCATCCCAGAGCTTTAGGTGATCTTTCAGATATGCTGAGCCCAGGCCCTTGGCTGCCTTACAGCGCAGGACCTTGAACCCCTCGGCACCATCTCCCAGGCGTTTGGGCTTCTCCTTGGCTGCTTCCCCCGAGCACGTCGTGCTGGCTGGCCCTGCCCTCCTGCCTTTCGTGCCTCTTCCGAATCTGCTGACTGCCGAAACAGCCTCTGCTCCCTATTTCTTTCTCACTTCAGCCTTGTATCTGGGACGCTTTTCCTGGCAACCTTCCCAAGCTCTCTTGCTGCCAACTCGGAGTCAGTATGAGCTTCTTGTATTCCCTCTCAAATCCCTTTCTATCGTGGCAAATAAACCCGCTGTCCTCTACGCACACACTATTGATATTATCCTTGACAGCTCCTCACTCCTGGCACTCAGCTGCTGCTTAATCATCCAGATTCCTCCTCTGATTCACCTCATGTGCTCCTGCAGCCAAAAGCTTGGCTTTGATTTGGCAATGTCACGGCAGGAGCACTGGGATCTCCTCCCTTATGACTCCTGCCCTGCACGTCCCCCTGTTGTTAGCACGCTCCGATTTCACTTCTACCGGGGCTGGCGTCGCGCCACCTTCTGCGTCCCCTACCATCACCTCTGCCTTTCTGCCCCGCTGCCAGTACCCTGCTTCCTTGTGCTGCCCCTGATTTTATCGTTTCCATGCTGCTTTGGAGAGTTTCCGTCCTGTTAGGGCTTTGCACCTCCTGACCCTGGCTCCCAGGTAGCCTTCACCTTCAAATCCCTCCTCCAGACATCCTTTCCCTGAGACTGCTCTCCCAGGACGATCTCGTCCTTGTGACATTGATAAAGGGGAGGGGGGGGGGGGGGAGCAAACCAAACAAACCTCGCAAACAATGTGTCTTGAAAACAGGAACTAACACGCTGTGCACGCAGCACCAGAAATAACCTCGCTGCCGCGTGCGGTGCAAACCCTGTCCTTCCCCTGACCCCTCCCTGCACGTCTCCTGCCATCTCTCCTCGCCGTCAGCCGCCGCCGCTCTCCTCCCGGGCTCTGGGCACGGCTCCCGGTGCCCGTGCCCGCGGCTCGGTGGCACTGAGCGGCCGAGCTCGGTCCTGCCACAACTCCCAGCAGCTTCCCCGGGGGTTCTCAGGCAGCGCTGCGAAACCGCCTCGCTGCGCTGCTCTTTGTACCGAGCACACGAAAGGGCAGCCCGAAACTAGAGGGCTAGGATAAAAATACCGCTTTGCTTTTAATCGGGACGCTGGGTTAACCGGGAGACGGTGCAGGCGCTGGCAGAGCTGTTCACCCTTGCACTCGGTGCCCGGGTCCTGCTTTGTGCAGAGGGTGCTCGTGTTTATTAGCCTTTTTCCCTGGCTGCCCGCCGCCGTGGACTTTGCTCCTCCGGGTTGGGATTTGCAGGCAGCGGGAGGCTTTCCACGTGTGTTTGAGAAGGTACAAAGCCTGCAGGAAAACAATGGAAATAGCTGGCTGATGACTGCTGCGTGTCACGCACTCGTTTCTTGCCCGGCGGTTTGTCCTTGGAGCTGCTCACGCCGCCTGGAACCTGCTCTGCAGCGGCGGCGGTGATGATGGGGGCTGGTGCTGGGGGCTGGCACGCACACCGCACCGCCGCCACGCCACGTGGGGAGCGGGCCCGCTGCCCCCGCAGCCATCGCACACCCCACGGGGCCAGGCCGGGGGATTGGGGGTCTGGGGGGGATTTTGGGGTGGCCTCAGAGCAGAGCGAGGCGGGGGCTGCCTGTCCGGTGCTGCGTTTCTCTGCAGGGCCCCCTGACTTTGAGCAGCCGGGGCTGGGGGCAGTGAAGCCCCTGGCAGGCTCCCCTCATCCCCCATGACAGCCTTTTCACGGCACCCCCACATCGGTCCCCTTGCAGATCCCATGTCAGTTTCCCCACAGACCCCATGTCAGTTTCCTCACATCCCTTCATCTCAGCTCCTTCAACCCCATATCAGCCCCCTCATCCCCATATCAGCCCCCCAGCCATGTACCAGCCCCCCCAGCCCCATATCACCCCCCCCAGTCCCATATCACCCTCCCATCCCTATATCACCCCCCCATCCCCATACAACCCCCCCCAGACCCATATCACCTCCCCATCCCCATATCACCCCCCCCCCATTCCCCCACCATATCACCCCCCAGCCCCATATCACCCCCCATCCCCATATCCCCCCCATCCCCATATCACCCCCCAGCCCCATATCACCCCCCCATCCCCATATCACCTCCCCCATCCCCATATCACCCCCCCATCCCCATATCCCCCCCATCCCCATATCACCCCCCCAGCCCCACATCACCTCCCCCATCCCCATATCACCCCCCCAGCCCCATATCACCTCCCCCATCCCCACATCGCCCCCCCAGCCCCATACCACCCCCCCAGCCCCATATCACCCTATATCACCTCCCCCATCCCCATATCACCCCATATCACCCCCCCCATCCCCCACATCAGCCCCCCCAGCCCCACTCCCGTCCCCTCACCCCCCCGGGGCCGTGCAGGGAGCGGCGGGGCGGTGCTGCCCGCCCCGTTGCGTGCCTGCCCCGTTTCCCAAGCAGCGCGGGCTCGGCACGGCAGGGCCCGGCTCGGCACGCCACGGGCGGCCCTCGCGTGCGATCCGCCGGCCCCGCCGCCGCCCCCCCGCCGCTCCGGCGGCACGCAGCGCCCAGCTGCCGGGGAGGCGCCGCCGGGACCGCACCGACACGCGGGGGGATGCTGCACCACGCCGCCTGTGGGCAGAGCTTGGGAAGGGGGGCACACCGGGACACGGGGGGCACCGGGGGGCACACACCGGGACACACCGGGGCACCCCGGGACACCCCGGGGCCGTTTCCCCCCCGCTGGGGCTGTGCCTCCCCCCGGGGGCTCCGCGCATCCCCGCACCACCCCCGGACCCCCACCGGGGGCTCGGCGAGCCCGGTGCCCCCCCCCCGGCTTCCCCAAGGCACCGGGGGAGGGGGGGGAGAACGGAGAGAACCGAGAGAACCGAGCCCCCCCCCCCCCAACATCCCCCAGCGCGCTCCCGTTGTCACCCGCGCGGGGGCGCGCCCGGTGGCCGTGCCCGCGCCGTTGCCGCGGTGACAGCGCCGGGGCCCGGCGAGGAAATGGCGGCGGCCACGGAGCGGCCCGGGGCAATGCACCCCCTGCCCAGGGGCATCCGAGAGGTACGGGATGGGGGGGGGGGGGGCACTGCCGGGGGGGCTCAGCCCCAGATAAATGCCCCTCAGGGCTGCTGGGAGCTGGGGATTCAGGGAAAACCAAAGCACCGGGAATTTAAAAAAGAGCAAAAATAGCAAAAAGCGTGCGAGTCCCGCAAAAGGAAAGGGCGATGGGAGTGGGTTTGCGTGCTGAAGGCACACTGATAACAGTCACACGTTGTCCTGTGTCTGCAGCCTGACATTCACCTCATCCTCACCTCATCCTCACCTCATCCTCACCCTTCTCATCTTGCTTTTTACCCCAGACGCAGGTTACGGAGCACTGGAGCAGTCCCCACGTTCCTGTCCAAGGCATCGACAGGCCAAGATTTTGGGACCGGTTGCTCATGGCTTCACACATCCTTTGCTGCTGCTCATTTCTTCACCCAGCTGGCTTGCCCTGTAGCTGCAGGACAGTTGCAGGATCCTGGGCTTGGTTACAAGCCATTCTCACAATCTGTCCTGGTATTTTCCACCTTTTATGTGGACATGCTCTTATTCCCTTCGCATTCTCTGCTTCTTGGGTTTTATAGCATCTCTTTTGCAATCTTGCTTTTAGTTTGCTCCTAGCATAAGCAGGACGTGTGCCAGCTCAGCTGTATGTTGTTCTGCCGAGCGGAGCACATGCTCCCGACACGAGCACGAGCACCCAGGGGGAATACGCTGAGCATCGTGATCCCAGCACCCAGCACTCAGCACTCGCGGTTCCACAGCCGCTTCCAGCTGCCTTGCTGGGCTGGGCTGTAGGGCTCAGAGCGGGGCAAAGCAGAGGATGCAGGACGGAGCTGTCACCGTTCTGCTCTGCTCTGGAGGATGGAGCTTCAAAAGCTGCTGGTTGGTATTTAGGGAGTGACATTGCTGCCTCCAGAGCTGTGCTCCTATAAAGATGTCACAGGGAAAGGGCAGGGAGCGTCAGCCTGGAGCAGCCTGTCCTGCACTGTGAAGCCATGGCCAAGTCCTGTGTTTCAGTTTCTGTCTCCCTTTCAATGTACCTGGACGGGAAGGTGCAGGTTTGCCAGGAAGATCTTAGCAAAGCGGGAAGCAGAGCAGCAGCCACCTCCAGAAGAGCCAAGTGACACCCTGAGTCCTCCAAGTAGCAAACAAGGTTACGCCTAATTGTATATTTTATTTGGCAAACAAATGACCCTTGCTTAATACAGATCACATAATTAATTGGGCACAAGACATCCTTACACGTTAGTAGTTCTCTCACCCTAGGAGCTTAAGAAAGCGAGCAGTGCAGGAACTTGGAAGCTGAGTTACACATCGGGGCAGAATGTGCCGTGGTGTTTGACCATCCACCAAACACCACGTACATTGCTAGCAGCAAATGGTACTCGTTAGATTTGCCACATGGGCTACAGATTGAGCACACAAAGGTAACTTTATAAGCACATTATGGTAACTTTCTGTGTTGTCTTTGGACCTGGGATTATTTTCCTTTACGTAGATTCTTACATAGTGTCAGTCTCTTTAATTAGCTGAAGAATCTGTCCTGCCAACAGAGACTTTCCTTGTAGATGTGAGCCGTACCCAGGGTCATTATGCATACACTGCTTGCAGTGTTAATACCAATTTATAAGCAGCAGGATTTCTGCCTGTGCCTCTGGATGTGCACGGTAGCACTGACACGCGGAGTGGCAGGAGGTCCTGTTGTCTCGTACTTTACGAATGCTTCTTAAGATGGTGTTCACAGGTTGTGACATCTCTGTGTTCACAGCGATTTTCAGAACTTAGCTAAAGGATTTTTGCCATTTTGATTTCATCGGGATGCCAAGCTCCAGCTACGTGAGTGTTCTCAGTGCTTTGGAGATGTTGGAAGGTATCTGCCCATTGCAGTCTGAGCCCACGCAGTGCAGGCTGAAGAGCTGGGAAGCTCTCAGTGCCATGGGCCTGTGGTTGATTTGGGATAACCAGATAAACACTCCGTAGCCAATAACTCAGGCTCAGGCGAGGATCCCAGTGAAGCAGTAATTTATTTGGGATTGCATGGTGGGCGCCCCACAAGCAGGAGAGCGCCCCTCCTAGCTCCAAAACACAGTTTGTATGCTTCTTGCTGACAGGACCCTCCCCTGTTTCCCCACGGAGTGGGTAATGCAGGTTCACAATCTGATGCTTCACAGACGATTCATGGCCTTCAGCTGCCAGCCTGTTACATTTCACATTTCTTTTGACGTTTTTACTGCTGGAAGTGGTAACGTTGCTTCACTCCTCTGACTTAACACCGTGATTTTCACCTAGTTGTCCTAAGGAGCCTGGTTGTCTGCATTTTACAAGGTCGCCTGCTAAGCTTTCTTATCACTGCAAGCATATCTCGGTACCACATTCCTTCCCTCTAAACAATGCAACTCTGCAAAAACAACATTTCTATTCCCACACCGCCGTTTGTCAGGGTGCTGGGGGCTTTGTGAGAGCAGATCCCAATGCAGGCAGTGATGGTCGGTTCTGAGAGTCCTGGTGTCGGTGATCGCCAAGGGCAGCGAGGCATTTTCATCTCGTGCTGTGCTCAGAGGGCTGGGGCTGTGCTCACGAGGTGTGAGCTTTTTGGTATCCCTTCTGCAGCCAGTGTCCATGTACCTTGCCAGGAGTTTGAGGGTGTGCACAATCTCTTGCACCTCAAGCGTTCAGGTTGTAGCTAGGAGGGGCTTCCCAGTGGTTGCAACTGCAGGTGTCAAATCAATATCGTCAGACGAACAAAAGGTTAATGAGGGCTAGAGCATCAGTCCTCTCACAGGTGCCACGTTTCGTTGCGATACACCGGGTCAGTTATAGGAATTCTCTGCTCTGTGTTGCACCAGGAGCTGGCACAGCACAGCCCAGCCCCAAGGAGCTCGGGAGCAGCAGTGAGGTCTGCGTGGCACGCCGGACACATGCTGGATGTTAGCAGGGCTCGTGTGTGCAGTCAGCAGCAGTGCAGCACGCTCTCTTATGATTCATTAGTCTGCTTTAAACACAGGCAGGAAAAAATTAAAGCTACCTGAAAGCCGAGTATTACTTCCTGCTGTGGCAAACGGATTCTTTTGGGGCATGTTTTGAATGGGATACTTGAGAGCAGGGCATTCTGGTTTTACTGCAAGGCTTTTCCTATGTTATTCAGATGTATTCAAAGCAAGTATTGTTATTTTTTATTTTGCAACTGCTTTTTTTTTTTTATGGAAGCTGAACAAATAATTATGTATGCAGAGTGGCTTAGCATTGCAGCCTGCATTGCTCTCTGACTGAAAACTCTGCTCACAATAAACTTTTTTTAAGAAGTGAAAATTCTACTGGGACTCTTAAAATATTTCAGTGAAAAAAATAGATAATTTCAATCAACTAACTCTTCGGTTTTGCACATACAGTGGAAAACTCCACTTTCTTCCTAGAATATCATTTGTGTGGCTTGAGTAACCATTTCTCTTCGTTTAACAGGGATTAGGCAGTGTGCTAGAAGAGGGAAAACAGCACAAGAGAAATGGAAGTAGTATGGTAGAAGAGGAGTAAAATGAGAAGAAAATGCATTCAGATAATCAGGTAGAGGCAGAATGAAACAATCAATACACAGAAATAATATAAGAGCACCCAGCTTAGTACAATGACATTTTATTTTCTGGATTATTGTGTTCTGCTAGGAGTGTAGGTTGGACAAATGCAGTGGTGGTTTTTGTTGTTGTTTTGGCTTGTTTTTTTTGTGCAGTCCTTGCTAAAGCAGGCTCGGCGTGATGGAGCAAGTGGAGGGGGAGCACGAGCTGTTACTGCTGTACCATGCCCCCGAGGGGCACGGGGTGGTGCAGGGAGGATGGTGAGTGCCCCAGTTCCTCCCCTGCACTGCACAAGGAACGTACGTGGAGTACATCTGTGTTCACGGCTCTGTTTTTATTTCGGTGGTGCACAGAAACATGTTGAAAACTTTTTAAAACAATCTCATTAATTGTGGACTTGAGGTCTGGCTTCTAAGAGTCGTGGCCATTTATTAGTTTCTTGGTACTGTCTGCTTCCAGAATCGGTGACCCGTATTCTGGGTGTCTTAACAACAAGGCACTGCTAAGTGCATAACTGCTTTTCTTTTAACCAGAACTTAGCTCTTTATTATTGTGAGGTTTGCCAGTGGAATTTGAAATACTAGCGGAGGCGAATGCAGTGCCCAAGTCAGCGTTCCCTGTCATTATTTGGTCAAGTAGAAATTATGTAAATACCTGTCACGTCATATTTCAGAAGCTTGGAGAGAAATTTGTTATTCAGAAAGCTGAAAACGGGACAGACCACTGGTCTTTTTTTTTCTTTTTCCATATAACGTGTGCTGTGCATATGCTTACAGCATCGAGTCAGACAGACCCAGCCATCCTGGCTCAGACCTCCACTTGTCCTTGGTAGCTAAAGGTAACCCTGGAATAATATTAGTTCTTCCAAAACTGAACGCAGCTCAGAGCTGAAACTGCTCCCACAGCTGCTGGAACATGGTAGTTAGAAATATTGCCTTGCGAAGTGATTTGTTCTGCACATAGCTCTGTCCTTCCTATCAGAACTGCAGCTCAAAACCTCACGGATCAAATTCATTTTTAGCTTATACACTTTGTCCTTATGAGTTGCTTTTATTTTCTTTTCGTCTTGCTAACTCAACTAGCAGGCTTTTTTTAGGATCTTTGTTTTCTCTGTTCCCTGTATCTCCGTTATCTTTTCGTTCCTTGTTTTCCCTGAGTTTCTCTGTCCAGGATGACCAAAACCACAATATTAAGTTACATTTCTTTTTAAAAATTCCTAATTTATTTTTTTTTCTATTCACTGCTTATCCTCCCAGTCACTTTTCTAGTTACAGTTCTTCATTTTCTGGTCCTTCCAAATGGCGTTTCTTCCCTTATTTTTTTCCTGTTTGCATTTGAGATGATGGCAACAGTCTTCTGATCAACTGTAAACAGGGAAAAATAGAATCTGAAAGTGCAAATGGCCATGCCCGTAATACACACTCTTAGCAGTTCCTCAGTACTCCTCTTCCAGAAAAGGTAGCTTTGTAAGCAGAGAACTAATGAAAATTTGCTTCCTGTGTATTTGTATGTAATGATCGATCAACTTTGGTGCCTCAGATGCAAGGAGAGGGGTCTGGTTCACAAATCTTTGAAGGATGGCAACAGAGAAACACACGAAAATTAATACTATTTCCCTTAGAAATTGTTCCACTCTGAAAAACATTTCGTGCGTGAGTAATTTTCAAAGCTATAAAATACTGTCTGGCTCTGACCTTTGAATTGGTGCAGCCTTAAGATGAGTGTTGTTATTTTGGCTGAGTGCAGCCAGCATCTGCAGCCTGGCAGCGCTGCTCTGCACCTGTCTGCGGGCACTGCAGCAGCTCCTGCAGGCGGTCCTGCGGCTTCAGGAGATGCTCTCGGTGCCAGCGAGGAGCTCGTGGGGCTGCTGACACTGACAAAACACAGAGATTGAGAAAGTCTTGCTGTGATTTGACCACTGTGGGCACGAAGCCAGACTCTTGAATTTAGGATGAGAATGCAGGTTCGTGTGCCCCTTCCTCTGCTTTTTTCAAGCCTTTTGGGGCTATTTGCTGTCACCTGGGTCCGTCCTGGGCAATGTGTCCCCTTCCCTCCTCCTATCAACTTAGGAATGGGTGTGAGGGAGAACAGGAGCCTTTTCCTGTTAAGTTGGGGTGTATATTGTTCATTGTGCTGTGACATGATTTATTTTTAGGCTCAGCAGCAAAATTAAAGTTGAAAACTGAAAAGTTTTAGTACTTCCATATATTTTTTTTTATTTTTTTAAATCGTAGCACCCAGTGGAATTTCTATAACTGTTTATCTGAAAGACAACAGTGGTGGTGCTACAAGAGAGCACAGTGTTCTTTTTGGGACAAGAGCCACCTTTCTGTCCTCCTAATAACAGCTCATTTTGTCCTTTTTCATTATAGTAATTTCAGTGCTTTGGAACCTTATGGTATTTATCCTGAGTAACAGTTTCATATTTCCAGGCACAGTTTGCAGCTGCCAGGAAAAATAAACTTGACTATTCAGTTCATTCAGAGCAACTGTAGCTAAGAGTATTTTAAACTGGGGCAAAACTTAGAAATCGGAAAGTAAAGTTTGGCCTGGTAATTCCAGGGCATCCTGAAATATCATTTTTATCAAGCTATATTTAAAATGCTAAAGGTTATTGAATCATGGATAATGAACCTTTTTTATTTTATTATATTTTTTTTTTGAAAGCTGTTTTCCTTCACCTAAGTATTTATGATTTTTGTAAGTCATTTTATTATAAGCCTTGTAACTGTTGGTAATTGTAAGAAAGGTTAAAGCACACTCTAAGCTTTTGGTACACAAAGACCACGCTGCCAGCTGCCACCCGCTTCCCATCTTTCATGTCTCGAAGCTTGCCAATAGCGTTTTATATTTGTTGCTTTGAGGTTGTATTTTCAGCTGTGTGCTGCGTGTCCTCTGATGTAGCCGTAATTCTCATCATTCCCTCTCAAATGCATCAGTGCTGGGATGCTCCAAGAATGGGGTAAAACCTCACATTTTCAAGGGTCATAGAATAGCCCAGGGCCCAAGGGACCTCCAAAGCTCATCTGGTCCAACCCTTCATGGGAAGGGGAGCCTAGGTGAGATCATCTAGCCCCGGTCCCGTTGCGTCCCGTTGGTCTGTGCTGGTAAGCAGGTGCTTGCGTGTCCTCTGTGGAAGTGTCAGACCTTCAGCAGAGGTCTGGTGAACTTGTTTACTCAATATCCATTTCTTGTGCAGGCTCAGTTCCATATCACTTGTAAACTGAGCATTGCTTTCTGGAAGGGAAGAAGATGAAAATACATAGGAATGATACACTGAGTAACAAGAATGTCCTGAAGTCAGGGCACATCTATCTGTTCATTTTTATGAAGCTTTGCATGCTGAAAAGCTTAGTGATTTGATCAATTACAAAAGTATTGTTCCCAATTTAATCAACTGTCTTTCAGTTCGATATCTATTACTTTGTGTTTTTAATCAGTGATGAATATTTCATACCCAGCAAACTGCGTACATTTTCCACCCCACTCAAGTGCCATACACGCTACATCACAATAACGTTCCCATCTTGAATTATTTTTGTAAAGATGACTGAATTATGTCACTCTAGTCTCTTTTCATCTTGCCTGCTTAATTGGATGTGACTTGTCAAAAACACAGTAGGTAACATTTTTCTGGCTCACACAATCAGAAATTTCTTTAAGGATACAGTTTTGTAAAACACAGAATGGCTCATTTTATTTGAAAGTAGTACATCAAGCATAACGCGGGGGTACTTCAGTTTGTAATTCCAGTGGAAGTTCATACATAGCTAATTGCATAATTGATCTGCCTTGGGAAGTTTCTGGTAAGCAAAGGTACTGCTATAGTTTGTCATTTTCCTGATGTTGAATTTTCTTTATTATTGTAATTACAGATTTGATCATAAATGTTCCAGCACATTAAATAGTTTAAACTGTTTGGAATAGAAACCAGTCATTCATTTTTCGTGTTGTGCAACTTGTTTCTCACATACAGTCTTAAAATTGTATCTCTTTCTAGATGTCTCGGGAGGAGACTGTGTGCAAATACTGTGGCGTCAGCTATTTGATCCTTCATGAATTTAAGGCGATGGAAGAAAAAGTGAAAGCATTGGAAAAGCAGATTACATTTTATGAAGGAAGTATAGAACGGGAAAAAAGACTTCAAGAAGAATTGCAGTCTCTTTACCTAGACCTTGAACACTGTCGAGCTGACAGGGAATCAAAAACAGAAAGGTCAGAGCATGTTATCTCGTCTGATGTCATTTTGCGTGTGTATGTATTAGGTAATGCTGTTCCAAAGAAGTTAAAACTACAAATGAGATTTGGCTGTCTTTTATCAAATGTAGCGTATAATGTCATGTGTAAATCCTATTTTGTAGTATTCTGCAGAAATGAGTTTTTCATTCCTTAACAGTTTAAAAACAGCCAATATATTTAAAGTGAAAGAAAGGCCTGAAGGCATTTCAGAGGTATTTCCCCCCTACACTACACAAAGGGGAAATGATCAAATATTTAATCTTATCATTTTTGTAATAAAAAATACTTCAAAAAAAAAATTCCATGATACTGGGGGTTTCACCATTCTGAAGCTTGTACTTACTGTCTCCTATCAACACTCTTTCCCTAAGAAGCTTGCAGTTCACTATCAGTATGATGATAGAGAATGCTCAATCAGTCACTTGGGTGCTGCTTGTGGCTTTCTTCCTCAGAAACGGGAGCCAGCAAATGCTGACTGGCGGTATGTGAAGGCCCATGTTAATGGGGGAAGTGTGCATTCCTCAGACCTCTGGTATGGCAAATTATATCTGTGGCTCTGTTCACGTTGACTACTGTTAGAATGATGAAGTGTAAGCAAGGGAATCGGAAACTTCTCGGTAATTCCTTGTTCATCTGAGTCAAACAGTTTGCCAGAAGCTTTTTACAGGAGCAATATTATGATTTTAGTATTGGGACAGTCCTTTTGATTCTAAAGACTCCCAGTTGGGGTGTTTTTGCACGACTGACTCACACCCAGTAGCAACTGGTCTAGGCCTGAAAACATGGAGCTTTTGGGGTAGGAAGGTACTCTCCCGAGAGACTGGAAGCTTTAGAGAAGAAACTACGGGTTGTGTGTAGGTGAAGCACTTGCACCCATTTACTTTTTGTTTTGTGAATCATTCAAATACTGTAACAGTTTAGCATAACTATTATTACGTTTAGTTAGGGTGTTTTGGTGTTTGTTAATGTAGCCAATGAAGAGTTCATTTCGACACACAAGTTCACCTAAGGTTGAACAAAATGTATATTTTGTGGATCACCCTGCTCGTACTGTACTTCAGGATCTTATTTTCACTGGCACCAAAACCTCCCTCCTCCCCTGTCCCCAGGAGGATTTCTTTGGTGTAACAGCACATTTCTGAAGAGCGCGTTCACTCCTTGTTCCTTTAATGGCTCTGGGTAGCAATTATAGTGGCAGCATTCGGTGTGTTAGCAGATACAGTGACAGCATGTTCTTCTTGCTGAGGATCATTTGCCAGAGGAAGACGTACGTTTTCATTTAGCTGACTTTTTGTAGCAAAGCTGGAAGAGTTAATGAAAATTTAATCTCTGCACTTTTTCCCCCTCAGGCTTGGCTTGATTCAAAACCTGCTGAAATCAAATGGAATACTTTCAGGAGGCTTTCATTCAGCCCATAAATCAACCATTGTGCTTTGTTAAATCAGCTGTATAAATATTCCTTATCTCCTCTCTACTATTTTGGGTCTCTCGTTACCCTGTGCCATTGGCATGAACCGACTTACTCAGTGTACTGTCTTTCTCCTGGTTCTTGCATGGTTGACAAATCGTTCTTCCCAAACTGCAAGTTTTTATCAGAAGCCAAATAAGCCCCTTTTCATCTTTGGTAGACCAAGAGATTTAATCCTTCTCGATAGGTGCAAACTCTCTCATTTTTATATTCCTTTTTGGTTAAAGTATTGCTATTGCTCCTACCTGTGGTTAACATTGAAAGCAACCTGGGAGCTTCAGCTGTTGTGGAACTCAGTTACCTGCCCTTCTGGAATTTGATCAGAAGAAGGGGAGCTGACCGTCCTGCAGGTAACTATCCTGATTCAATCTAACACAGCGCCGTGTGTTTCACCCCTGTAGTAAGAAAACCTTGTTACTGTTTGAAGAGATCGCTAACGTTACCAGAGCATCTTTGCTCACGTCTGCATGGAAGCTCACGTACTTGCATCTTTCTGAAGATTCATGCTTAAATCCACTCAGTCCTTTAAATGATGCTCACAGTTTTCCTTGCTATGGCAGACAGTCTAGCCACATAACTTGTTATGATAACTTTGTCTTGATTTAAACTTAAACTGCATAGCTTAGAAGGATACTAACCTGGCTAAATATCCTAAACAGTGTAGGTCACTGTATAAAACCTTCCCATGAGGATGCTTCTTTTTGTTTTCACCTTCAGATTTTCGGTGTGCAGTACTTTTGTGTGTCAGTGCCTTTCGAGCATCAATAGCAGTAAGACGGATGGAAACCCTTCCCACACACTTATCCCTCCACTTTCTATGCCTCCTCCCACCCCACTGCCCCAATAAAGGGAAAACAAAGAACCCAAAATCCCAGCGTGATGTTCAGGTTTGTGGTTTCATCAGAGAAATCTTGTGTTACATGGCCCTTGGGAATTTTGGAGTTCCTTTTTCATCTAGTCACTTTGGATATTGAACTGTTTGTTTAAAGATTCATTCTCCCCACGTGGTCTTATCAGGCCTGGTTTCTTATAAAATTCCAGGATTATGAGGACTATTGCAGCTATAAAGAGACCTTCCTCAAGGAGTTTACGCTTCAGAGAGGACCTTTAGATACTCCCAGGTTTTTCATTTGTCCTAATTTCATCTCTTTATCAGTGTTCTCCAGTCATTAACTAGTCTAACTGCAGTGGGTGTGCACTTTCTTGTTTCTGTTTTCCATTTGTCAGAACTCTGTTTGTTGTGTCACTATGGAGTGGTGGGAAGAAAGAAGGATTTAATCAGTGATTATGTCATTAATTAAGAAATAGAATTACGTTGAACTCCTCCCATTTTCAAGCTAGGAGCATGGTATGAAAGATGCGTTTACAATATCCTTGACGTTTCCAAATCACTTGGAAAACATAAAAAGCTCTATTAGAAATGCATAATTTAAAAAAAAGTATCAAATATAGTTTGGGTTATGCAGTCAGTTATTCTTTTTACATGTTATTTTATCTGGGTAACTTGGGAGTCTTGTTCTTCTTTTCACTGTTTTAGGAAGCATGGCTAACTGCAGATCTGTCAGGTACTTTCAGAATATTGGAATATCATTTATCTGAAAAGAAATCAATTCATAAAGTAGTAGATGAGTACTTCACCACACTACGGGTGTTCTGGGTGAGTCTTTGGGTGCATGCTCCTTCAGGGCTTGGTGGAAAGAGGCGAGTAAATACAACAAGAGGCACTGGGTGAACAGGGGCTTCAGCAAGTCCCCACGTTTTGCACAGAGCTTTTCCCAGCAAAAGGAAATAATGTATTGTTTTTTGTATTGTAAGGGGAATACAGAGCACAGAAGTGCTGGATTTTGTCTGGCTCTTTCTGCATTAAATTCTACTTTTAGACAGCTCAAATTGCAGCATACAGAAGTAAGAGCACAAGAGCTGTTTTGTACTGGGAAGTGCCAAGTGCGTGCGAGTTTTTTCTGAAGAGAGGATATGAAATTTAATCAGGGGCTGCCTTCAACATATTTAATTGTATTTGTTTTATAGTGCAACAGTACATACTTCTTCAATTAGCCACATGATAATTTTAGGGTGTACTTATTAACCAGGAAAAAGCAGAATTTTGTATAATGCCAAAGTGTTTTAATATGTTCCCTTCAGTGCTTGCAAACTGATCTGTATATTCTGTCCTGATGGTGTCATCAGGATGACTCAGGTATTGCTCAGGCTTGTGCAGAGAGCAAGCAAAAACCTGATAAAGTTTAAGAGAGATCTTGTGTTCGCCATCTGTAAAAGCAGTGAATTTCACCTTTATATTTAAAAACAAACAAACAAGAATGGGAAAAAAAAAAAAAACAAAACACTGACAAAGCTTGTCACAGTCTCAGACAGCTGATCACCACAGCGCTTTGGGGAAGTGACCTCTTGCTGTTGGACTCTTGTGTTAGGGATGTTGAAGCCAGTGACTTCCCTATACAAAACATCCTCTTTGCTGACTGGTGGTAGCTCAGTCCTTGTGTCAGAGCTGTGATTGTTCTAGTTTTGTCAAATTTTCTCTATTAACATCATTAGCTGCCAAGATCAATTACTAATAAACGAAACAAGCGTGGTCACTAAGGTAGTCCGAAAGCCTGATTCACAAAGCACAAAACTCTGTGATAAGGTTTAATCTTCTCCCAGATTCCTGATAAAAGGAACTGTGAGACAGAATTCCCTATCTGGAAGAGACAGCAGTCAGTGGAAAATGCAAAAGGTAACATGAAATCTGCATTTTTGCTTCCGTGTGTTCTTTTCATAAATATTTCATTTAAAATATTTTTGTATTTAATAAGTAAAATTAAAATTTAGATTAAAAAGCAGAGATATTTGTATCTGAGAATGGTGCCACATAATGCTAAAAAGGCCTTAATAGCTGTAAAATGATTCTGGACATAATTATAAGGCTTTAAATGGTTTCTTTCAGTTCATACTCAGGCAGAAAGACTCACTAAAATCCACAGGGCTTCTGCTTCTTTATCTGTCAGAGTGAAATTGGAAAGCTCTGTGGTTATTTGCTGATCGAGGTTAACACATTTCGTGCATGTGCTTGTAGGACAAGGTGTTATTTTCTGGTGTTTTCTTTGATTACATAGGAATGAAACTCGGATGGGACCAGGATGAACTCTGGCTAATCCTTGAATACCTCTGCCCTGTGCTGAGAGGCCTATTTTTACTTTGGCCTTTGACTTGCTCTTGAACTTGACGCTGCTTTGGCGACTGCAGAAGGGGAAGGTGGCTGCCCAGGATGCGGGGTGAAAGGGGACGCCTAGTTTGGGGGGGAGAAACACCAAATGCATAAAATGCAATATATTTCTAGTTGGCTAAATTTGTGTTATGTTAGGGAAACACAAAGTATCGTCTTTTTCTCTGTAATTATGTGGTCTCTACTGTACCTGCAAGGTCTAGAAAATTTCTGGTTAAAAAGTATACACTTACTCATGTGCCTTGAGAAACTTCCCTTGAAATATGCAGGTGCAAATATATAGTATAAGTAAAAAGTCACCTATAAATTTGCCTTAACTCCATTTCTTTTCTTACGCAATTATCAAATTACTCATAACTGTAATCTCATTTATTAATCTGTTGAGTCAGATAATTCTACTGATTTATAAGAAGTTATTCCTGAATAACACTGCTGTGACAGAGACCATGTAAATTGCAGCTGAGGATGAAATCGGCAGCTGGGGTGGTAGCTCTGAGAAATAAAACCTTAGGTTTCTTCAGAGATGAATTTTGACCTGGTTGTGACAAGGCAGTCATCTTTCTGTCACTGTTTTCCCGACCTGTTCCAGAGTTTTACCTTTGCTTAACAAAAATAATCTAGGTTGTCTTCTCAGCATGCTTTTTATCTTTTTATCTATCTATCTGTCTATATTTATATATATATTTATATTTACGTTGTGTTAATAAAATAACAATTAATGCAAGATTTGAAGTGACTGTCAGCTTACATGAGACTCGACAGAGACCTTCACGAAAAGCCTACAGATTGGTAGCCAGAGAAAACTTCCACCTGCAGTCAGTGGGCCATCTGCTAACCTGCAGTCCACAGGTGAATGATCCTGTAGTGGCAAACAAAATCTGTGAAATAGCCTGGTCTTAACTTGAATGGTCTTAAATGGTCTGATCAGAGTCGTAAAGGCGCTGTGTGCCACATAGCCTGCAAGAGGGTTGCTTTTTCAAATCTTAGCTTCTGAGAAATGCAGCTTCTTAAATTTGAACAGTCGTGGTAATTGTCATTACTTTTAGGACACTGAATATTATCTGTTTGCTGGCAAGAATCCCTTGCAACTACTTCTTTATTTTCTCTGGTATTCTTTTCATTGCCAGCACTGGTGGTTAACGTGTTATAACTCAACTCCCACTCTGTGCAGGCTTCCTCCTGTGTTCACCAAGTCTGCTGCCTGCAAAGATGGGAAGTTGATTTTCACAGTTCACACAAAATGCAGGACAGAGGACAAGACCACTGTGTTCTCACACTTCTCTTTTAATTGTGTCATCTAATGATCTATTGAATTCTTTCCTTTGTGCTAAATATCACCAAAATAATATGCTTATTTTTTTTCCTCTTGGTGATGAGAGTAGACAGTGCAACTTTCTTGCATTGTCCACATATCTTTTTGTGTGCAAACAATGGGAAAATACCAATAATGTCCCTTTGCACTTTGAAGCTGCAATTCTATGCTAACCTCACTAAATCAAATGTTTGGAGTGGGGGAAAAAAAAGTCTGCTTATTTGGAAGTTTTATTTTAAAACTATAATCCCAAGAAATTTACACGTAGGTATGGGTTAATTTTCCTAGCAAGGTAATGCTAGAATTTTTTTAAAGTTATTTTTAAAGTTATTTTTATTTTATTTCATTTCAGTGATCACAGTTGAGCCCAGACAACTTTTTAATTACCAGTTATGGTGTAACTAAAGTTCAGTTCAGTTATGGTTTTGGCAGAGCTCTGCAGATCCAAGTTTCTTTATCAGGACTCCTATTTTTTAAGTTTGCATTTTGGTGCAAATGTGTTGTAGATGATCCATCTGATAACATTAGCTGACGCACAGGAAAACAACAGGCTTTGTTGTTTATTTTTAAGCTATAAATCATTTTCATTTTCGTTTTTAAATTGAAGCAAATGCTAATGTAATGCTTGTGCCATCCTTTGGTTTTGTAAAATACTTGTGTATTCAAGTATTATTTATTTACTAGTGACAGTAAGTCACTAGTAGACAAATACACCATTTACTTTTACGGTTAATCTAGTGTGAGTAGTGTTGAAAAGGACTAGTTTTTAAATTACATGTCCCTGTCATTGTGCTTTCAGGGATAGAAGAATATACTATAATAACTGCAACTGAAAATAACAAAACCTAGTGTAAACTGCTAATGAATGTTGTACGTGATATTCTCTTTGCACATTACACAGGCAGATAGCTGGGCTCAGCTATCTGATGTTCCTGCATGGTCCCATTCATTTCATTGCAGTTGTGGGAATAACCCAGGAGTCACTGAAAGAACAATATTTTCAATTTTATTTACACTGCTAAAGTTATGCTTGACAAATACACAGGTCAGAACCACTGCTGTAATGAAGAAGTTCAAAAGGTAAATTTTAGAGGCCAAGGGGAATGCATAGGTCAGTTTATCCGTTCCTTTGGGCTGGCTGCCTGTGTTTGCTGGGGCACGAGGATGGGTCATGTCCTGTGCGTGCTACAGACCTGCACCTGGAGCTGTGCACAGCCCGAGGGGCCGCCCACCTGCAAGCAAGTGGTGGTGGAAAAGAAATGCTGGGTTGGTTCTCCTGCATCGTGGGCCCGTTTTATTTCAATATATATATATATACAGAACTATAAGCAAGTTATATAAGAACTGTAAGAACTAAAGGAGAAAGGCACATGAAGGTTGTTCAGCTACACGTCTTCCATAGCTTAGAGACGGTGTTAATTTGTAGACATCCACTGAGTGGCTTTAAAAAATAAGTACAAAAAAGTGAAAAAAAACACAAACAACAGTGTTAGCAAATAAACTGAATGGCTGTAACACATCTCTGTGTGTTTCCAGGGGCTGCAGGAAGCTGCACAGCTCAGCCCCTGCTCTGCCCGCTGCGTCCCGTGCCGCACGGAAAGGGGAAGGCTGGGAAGTCCCGCGGGCAGGGAAAGCCCCCGCCGGCCCGGTGTGCTCAGCAGAGAGGCGGCTGGTTTCGTTCCCACTTCTTCAGGTGGGAAGGGTGGTGAGGATGGGGCGCAGCCCCTCTCCCGGCTGGGTGTCACGGCTGGGTGAGCTGCTGCTGCTCTGCGGCGCTGGGCGTGGGGTTTCATCACCTTATCGGGCACCTCAGCTTGAATACTCCTGTGCCTAACCATCATCTCTGGTGTCAGATTTGATGGAAAAGCTCAAAGCACAACCCACACTGCAATTTCAAAGTCTGTTGCACGCTGTTGTGACGATGCAGGAGAAGACTTTTCGGTCTATTTAAGGCAAATACTTAAAATGTGCTGTGACAGCGTCTGCTTCGATCCTCTGCTGTGGGGATGCTGCACCCTGCCAGCATCTGTCAGATGGAGCAGCCACACCGTGGCCTTCCCACCCCAGCTTGTGGCCAGGAGCTTTCTCAGCCCAAACGCTGCTGATGTATTTTATTTTTATTTTACTTCCTGGAAGGAAGAGGGGGAGTGAAGAGAAATAAACGCAGACTGTCTCTGGTATATCATTAATCTAGCTGGGAACGTAGAAACCTAGCTCTAGCCCAGAGCTTAACTCTTCCCAAAGGAAAATACAGGAAGGGGATCCCACTGACGGGATGTTGTAGATCAGTTTGATACCAGTGTGATTGCTTGAGGACGTACAAGTAACACGTGGTGAGCACATCTTTGTGAAAAGCTTCTCTTTAAACAGAATATATTGTGTGCATTTTTGCATGATTATTTGCTGAGCACCGTTGGTTCAGCAGTACACGAGAACCAGAATGTGAAACGAGACAAAAGCAGACGAGCAGTTGGGATTCGTGTTTCGCAAACGCCTGAAACCGCGAAATAGGTGAACGATCAGAATGGAAAAAAAAAATGACAGTGCCGGTAACAAAAAGCTTGGTATTTCCTGCTGGTTGGCTTTTGGCACGTCCCCCTGCAGCCTGGAGGAGCTCGCTGTTTGCCTTCGCTGCACGCCTGCCCTGCATCGCCTGCAGGGACGAGGTGCCTGCTTGCTGGGCATCGCAGCACCAAACCCTGTTGTAAAAAAAGTGTGTGCTTGTGGAGGATGGGCAACAAGCACTGATCTGGGGGCTGATACCTCCATATGTTGGAAATGGTGTATTTTTTCAGAAACAGTTACTTTTGATATACACACCTTAATTTTAGAATGAAAATCAGCTGTGTTTTTCATAAAACATCTTCTTTCACGCCCTTGAGATTAAAAACATGAAAGTAAAAATGTGACTGTGATTTAAACAACTGAGTAGCTCTGTGTGGCCTCTGTGGATAACACCGGATTCATTAATGTATTTGTAACAGCCCCTGAGCTGATCCTGTGTGCTTCCATGTTACCGTGCAAGCATCTTTTGGGCATTATTTGGAGGGAGAGTGTTGCTGAAGCATCAGCACAGTGGGCTGAAGTTAGATTTTCTCCATTCGAAGGTCTGATACATCAATCTGAAAAGGCAATTGCCATAGGAAGGACGTTACGTACAGTGGAAACAAAAGCTGCAGGTTGGTTAATAGTGTGAGTAATACTTGGCTTTATTTGAATCTATAGAATAACAAACCTCACAAAGGAACTAAAAGCCAAACAAGATGAATTAAAAAATGTGAAGGAAGATCTGCGGTATTTCCAAGAAGAAAAGGAAGCTGCCTATAAGCAATCACAAGTGCTCAGGTAAGAACCCAAACAGAAATGCTGGAGTTGTGTCTCCTGTGGTGTGCAGCCCATTGAGGGGATTCACACTGTACGGTCACCAGAGGTAACCAGAAAGCATCACTCCTGATTGCTGATGCTGTTAGCAACAGGCTGAGTTCTTCACAAATTTCAAATCATTAGTGGCTCTTAAAAGCAAGTGTGTGCCACTTTTAACACGGTGGAGATACGGTATTTCTTACACAGGTTGTCTGTGAGAATTCAGCAAAAGCCTGGATATATAGGATTTATGAAATATTGCTCTGATTTCTCAATAAAAAGTAATTGTACAATTTCATTTTTACATATAAGTTTAAAAAGAACATTTAGAAGGGTGAAATTTCTTACAAATTCAATGTTCAACATACTTCATTCACTGAATTGTTGTAACTCAATATACTATAAAATATCACATAACAGAAAAGTAGTTATCTGGTTTACAAATAATTAAGATATTTTGTCACGTATATTTGCTTTTAAAAATGTGTGTCTGGTATTACTTCTCTGTCTTGCAGAAATACATTGGAGCACCATTGCTCAACTCTGAACAAGGCTGTCTCACTGTTTCCCTTTATCAGAAGTGAACTAGAAAATATTAAAGAGGTCGTGTCCAGTAATCTAGAGAGCTGGGCTGCCCTGAAAGAAGAAATTTTTGTCCAGATAAAAACTGTTAGCAAAGAAGCTTTGACAGGTAAATTATCACATTGCAATAACTGGTCAAGGTGAAATATTTTTTGGTAGTTGAGTGGACCACAGTAAATTCGAAGGTAAAATCAATTAGATAATTTCTAATTCTAACATTTAATTTGGGCAGAAGCAAAGTAGTACAAAATGTCACGGCACTGGGAATGGCACTGAGCTAGTCTGGCTCCTGCAGGATTAGTGTGGTGTGCTGCTCGCTGGGGGCTGACACAGAGGTAATATAAATACCACGAATGCTTGGATATGGAACATAAATAATGTAAGTTCTTATTGTGTGTAGATGGGATTGCAGTGCAAAGGCGCAGAGATATTTAATTTGCTGTGTGTTTCCTGCTGCCAGTTTTCTTCACATCTCTTCCCTTGAGCAAGCCACTGGTGTAGGCATTGGGTGGGCTCCAGAACCGGGACCACTGCAGGGAACAAACCTGCACCTGGCACCTACCGACTGCCTCCTGCTGTGCCCAAATAACAGCATCTAATCCCCAAATACCACTCTTTATCTGAGGGGACTTTGGAACTGAAAGGGGCATGGAGCAGCCCATGGGCTGAGAATAATTCGGTTGGCCCACAGCCTGCTTCCTGCTCAGACAAGGGCAGCCTTCAGGAGGAGAGAAGCTGGGAGCAAGTCACAACTGGTGGCTTGCTCAGGAAGGTCGTACCCAGCCCTCGGGCTGGCGGTTGGACTTGAGAGCTCAGATTTATCCTTGAAAACCGTTTTTGCTCTGCCTCGGCTAAGAGATTAGTTTTGCTGAAAAAATTATGCATTAGTGTAATGACAGACTGCACCATCCAGAGCATCCCAAAAGGCCATGTGTTGGCTTTTGCAGCTTTAATGGTCTTTGGACATAATTTCCATGTACGTGTTCCTGTCCCTACAGTTTTTCAGTGTGTTCTGTATTAGCTGATAAACCAGTATTTGGTCTGGAGCTTAGTTTTATCGGGGTTTTAAGGTAGGCAAAGGAGCAGGTGAGCTGACATCACCCTTTCTGTCCTTGTGAGAAGGACTGTGAGGTCACGGTGGGCAATGTGCATCTCCCAAATCTCTGTGCTGGTGAAACTGTCTGCACCCTGTTGTAAATGCATAGCTTAGGTGACACCTACACGCACGGAGTGTCTCAGAAAATAGGCAGCACCATTTTAAATAAGAGCTCCCCACTTGCCGATTCCTCCTGTGAGATTAGAGGTTGTTTTTAATGTGTTCAGCGTTTGCTTTTCTCATACAAGGAAGAAGTGAGCGGGGCAGCTGTGCCGAGGGGGCTGCATCCCCTGGGGCATCCCCTCGGCCCTACAGAGTGCTCGGGGTGCTCAGGCTGTGGTGGGAAGGTCTCTCTGTGGTGCTCAGCTGCTGTGCCAACAATCGGGTTAAATGTCAGCACCAGTATCTTGCATTTTGATTCATGACTTCATCTCCTAATTAGGCTGAGCACAGAAAGTATCGTGTGTTCCTACGAATTCCTCTCTTCCTGTGTTCTCTGTGTTCTTTCTAGTTAATCAGGAGAGCATGTACATGCCTTTCTGCAGACAGTTTCAGGTTCAAGGAGTTTCATAACATTGCAAAGCATCTTTTTCTTTTGCTTTACTGTTATTTGCACCAAGATTTTCAAAGCTTTTCTACATCGGATTTTCAGAAGAAAAATGTTGCATAAAGTGCTACTCCTTATTCCTCAACCAGTTTCCTTAGTTAGTTTGAAAAATACACAACAAGTTATAAAACACTTGTGTATGTAAATTATTTAGCTTTGGTTAATTAGTGGCAAATAGGAAGAGGTATAAGAAGTTAAAATCTTTGGGAATTTACATCATTTAGTCCAACAATAAGTCAATGTAAGTGTCAAGCACTTAGACAAGATAGTAGATAATGAAAATGTAATTTAAATTTTGCACCTGGGCAATATAAAAATACGTAACAGCTGACGTAATGGTATAATTAGGCTTCATCTAACGAGAATTGTCATCACTAATATAAATAAAAGTGATATAAGTTCTTTGGACAACTGAACGTTTAGGTCTGTAGTTGGAGAGGGCATACGAAAGAATTGCAACTATGGGAAATGTTAAAGGGCACTCATGGAGCTAAGCTAAGGTCAGGAAACATTGTAAAAATGTAAGAGATCCACTATTCCCACCCCAATTTCCTTACGCACCTTGCAGTGAAAACTACCTGGGAAGCTCCCAGGGGACTGCTGCTTTTCCAAGTTGAAGGGCTGATGAAAGCTAGAGTGAAAAAAACTGCCTTTAGTGTAATGGATTGCTTTAACAGCAGAAAGGAGAAAATAATTTGTAATACACATGCCCAAATATCTTCTAAACCAAAAGTTTCACACTGAGCTTTAGCAGAAGCTAACCCCTTTGAGATATTTTCTCAAATTAATTTCAAAACGAGCTTGCAAATGTTTTTGTATGTCAGCAATGTTTTGTGTCTCTCCTCAAGATAAAGTCTGGGTTCAAGTATTTGTCACCTGCGGTTATTTCATTTGGAATATATATATTCTAATTTGGTATTATGATCTTAGAGGAAATAAGTATTATTGCTTAGAATAAAATTTGTATGCTTGCCAGTCATATCTGTTTGGCTCAGCACAGGTTACCCATGTGAAGATTTATTGCACAGGGTGCTTTCTTTGGCCCTCTGCTCTCAGCAGGAATGTTCCTTTTTTGGAACTTTTGGGTAGACCTGTGCGGTGTCAAGAGTTGGACTTGATGATCCTTAAGGGTCCCTTCCAACTCAGGATATTCTATGATTCTATGATTCCTTATGTCGGTGGCTTACACCGACCCCTGCCCAAACTAGGGTTACTGAAATCCTGAGGTCTTAATTCAGGTGAGTTGCTTTTTAATGAAGAAAGTAAATTTGACAACAGACTATATGATTTTTTTTCTCCTCAGAAATACCCAAACTGAATCAGAGGTTAGCAAAATCCCAGAGAGAGAATGAGAGTCTTCAGGAAAAGGTGAAACATCTGACACTGGTGGCTGACACGGTGGAGCTGAAAACTCAACAGCTTCAAACTTCTCTTCAGCAAGGGAATGAGCTACAAAGCAGATGCCGTGAACTGCAAAAGGAAACATTAGGTAAGAGAATGTTAATATTCCAAGCAAACTTCCAAATAAAATGAAATGCAAAAATATTTAATGTGTTAGTGCGCTCAACAGCAGAACTCAGGCCCTGATAAAGCTTGGATGGTGCACGGCCAGGAAGACAGCATGGCAATCTGAAGTCTGTTACCCTGTTGGAAACACAAGGTAGTTTTGAATAAGAAATAAAATTAAGGAAGGGAGGAAAATAATGCAGATGGTGGGAGTACTGTTATGCTGTTACCTGTCAATATGTAAAACATCAGGGAGGTGCTCTCACTTTGATTGGGAAGGCCAAGCTGATCTATCAGCATCAGAACTGATGAATGTTAGCCTAAGCTAGTCTCTTTTCCCCTAGATCTGTTGAACTTGAATCTGTCTAATGATTTGCCCTTGGTAGTTTGTCTCAAGAATGGAGAGTCCTCTTGAAAACTGTAAGAAAAGTGGTAGCACTCGGAATTATAGCGTCTTTTAGCTTTGTTGAGACAATGACTCATTACAAGAAGATTATTGTGTATTTATGTTAGTATCTCTTGAATCTGTTGTCTTTGTAAATCAGGATTGTGTTCGTGGTGCTGGCTCAGAGACATTTTAAGACATTGAGAACATATAGAGGTTGTGCTGTTCCACACATGGCTTTGAGTCATCAAATTGGCACTGTAATTACCTCGCTGCCTTATGCACAGTATGTAATTTCAAATCTAAAGCAGTAGCTCTCGGTGCTAGTCATGATAAAGGAATTTCACTGATCCTTCAATAGCAGTGATAATATCAAACGTGAAACTGAAGAGGGGAAGAGCGCAGTGACTGTGGAGGACTCATCACCCAATGAGTTAGCGAGCCAGATTGCTGAGGGCAGGCTTCATTTCTGTCACTGGATAACAATACTGATAGGAAAGCTTCAGATCTGAATGCCAGATATGAGCAGATATCTGAGCAGATGCGAGCAGATAACTTTACAGCCTTCTCCAGGCACCATCCACACAAGAAATATTTTTTATATATCTTCCTTTTTTGTGGTATTTATTCACAGAACTGACTTTAAATGAGTACACAATCAGTTAGACTTGGCTCTGAGAAGCTTCTTCTCTGTGGACTGTTCACAGTGTGCTGTTTTGTCTGTTTTTTCTTGGGGAGCTACGGAAGTGAACATAGTGATCCAGTGTCTCAGGATCTTGTCCGTGACGTTTTCTGGTAGGCTCATTGTCTGATCATAGCTACATCCTGTTTCTTAATCCTCTCTTCAGAGTAAACTCTGGCAGGCAGGATCTGGGGGGAGGGCTGCCTTAAAAGTGTTTAATTGTCAGTAATTAGTCACAGTAACTCATTCTGAAGATCTAATTAGATTGGAAGAAAGGCATCAATTTTATTTCAATTTCATTTTTTCAGGAGAATCTTGAACACAGTGAACACATCTCAGAAAATGTGTACCTTTTTTTTTGGCTTATGTGTAAAATCACTAGGTGAGATTTGAAGAAAGCATGAAACAAAATACTGGGAGTGCATAAATGGTAACTGCTGTGTTGTTTTTTTCAAGAAAAGTAACCGATATTATCTGTACACACGCATATATATATATATAATATTATGTGTCTGAGATAAGTGCTTGGGTTTAAAAAAATAAATAAACCAAAACCCGAAATAAGTTCAAGATAACATCACTTAAAAAGATAGAATTGAAGGCCTTAAGTAGTTACATAGGTTTACCAAATCAAGTTGCTTGCCCCAAGAGCGTAAGGTTGCCTGTGTTATGTTCTACTTGAAACTATTTAGAAAAAAATGCTCAAAATGCATTCATTTCTATAGAAGAGACAAGTGTGTTTCTTCTCCATTAAGAGATTTATGTTTTATCAAAATAATCTGTGTACATGTCTAGCTGCCAGGTTTGACTATTACAAAACCACAGTCTAAAACTTGGAAGTTGTATACTTCAGAATTCTTTCTTTTTTTTCTTTCTTCCTTTTTTTTTTTTTTTTTTTCTTAATATGTTTTTCTGTCCATATATATTCTGAAGAAACCGCAGAGATTGAGCTCGGAGGCTCTCGCAGTGCTGGAAATTGCTCGAGCAGGCAGTATCACTGAAAAGATAGCCAAGGTGACTGGCTCAAAAATAGCACAAGAGTTGCAGATCCTGCAACAAGACTCACAGCAGTGATTTATTAAGTTGATTAAAGCTTTTCTTTCTCTACTAAAAGGGTAGCGTGGATGGAAGGTTTGTTTGGTCCTTAGTGTGGTCTTGTGCCATGTAAGGAAAACGTCCTGACGTGCATTAGTACCGCAGTCTGGGTGTTCTACTGAAGTGCTGAGAAATTGCAGTTATTTACAAGCCAGCTTGAGGGTGGTTGGCCCCAGTACTCTGTACAGAATCTGGGCACCACTGCTTTGGTCCCTGGTTGCTGCCTGATGGAGTAGGGTCATGTTTTGGTCACATTGTTGTGTTTTCTAAGTAGCAGTGGATACAGAAGGCTTGTTTTGCCCTAATACCTGACTTTCTTCTGTGTTCAATATAACCACCAAACTTATTTTCACTTCCTTTTTAGGAATAACTTATCCCCTAACTTTGTATAAATAAGCACAAATAACGGTACCTCGTAAAGCAGTTACAGACCGTTTATTACTTGTCTTTCTCTAGAAACCTGAGTGGGTGTGCTAACTGACTGCCTTGAGGAAAACATAATTACGTTTGACATGCGTTTTTCAGGTGCAAAAATTAGTTGAAATAAAATAATCTCAGTGCAGAAATAGCTCCTTCTCAAGTGCACTTTGACATTCCATTTGTGTTAAAATGCCTTTTAATTCTCTGTACAAAATAAGAAACTCGTGGGCGGCACGAGTTAAATTGCCACTGGAGCCGTACAGCCCATTGTAGTTCCTTCCTCAGGGTAAGCACTGAGAACGCTCCTGCTTACATTGCTCAGGACTGAAGATTTTGCCTTTTGTAAGGTGCCACATTCAATCTATCTCAGATAATCTCACACGTTGCTGAGTGAAGTGGCTGTATGTGAGAGCTCGGTAGTACACATGCATTCTTGGGAGCTGCAGTGTCGGCACTCGCTGCTGCTGGAGGAAGTCTAAAGCCCGTTTAATTCATCGTCCTGTCCTTGCCACTGAAAATGGCGTGGTTCAAAGGAAGGTACAGGAACTCTACAGCAGCAGTTATGAGATAATCTGTCATCCTTACGTGTCTCGTCCTGATCTAGGAGGTCATTGAATCTAATAAGACAATCTGTTAAGCTTTGAAATATGTGGCTTAATATCTTTACATAAGGCATATCGTCACATTTACTCTGGTATGAAAATTACATGGGGTTATCATTAGAGTTCCCCTTTCAGTTTTGTAAAGCTGTGTACTTCACGGGTTCCTGTAAATAAAGAGTTCCACTGGTTGTTTACATGCACCGGAGAAATACATTTTCTTGCTTAGTTTTCCCACATTTTAACTCCATGGAGAATCGCCTTATTCTTGTGTTAGAAAATGAGAGGAAGTTGTTCACAGTCAACTTCTTTTAGGTTAACCAGCGTGTAATATATTTTTGTGATACTTGCATGGCTTTACGACCCATACTCTCGAAAATCTGAAGTTAGTTCCTTATGTTAGTACACTGCACCAAAACGTCACACCAAGCAGTTATGGTTCTGTTCTAGCTTTTTGTCTTTAATATGCATAACATCGTACGTTAACTGTAGGATATCTATGCCACATCACGAGCAGGTTCAGACTGGCTCACACAGGGCACCTCTACTTGTGCTGAAAAAAAATGATCTTTAAGCTTACAAAGAAGTTTCTGTTCTAGAGGCCCTATTGTACTCTGTGGATTTTTTTTTTTTAAATATTGTTGTATAAGTCTACCAAGATTGCTCAACAATTCCTAATAAAAGATCATTGTTTTCAGTTGCTTGGAGTATTACCAAACTTAACTAATCAATGATTTTTGAATAGTCGTTGCACAAAATGGGCATAGCTTTCACAAGGATAAGATGGGTGGAAATGTCATTGGATTTTATGTTTCAGTCTTACTATGCAAAAACTTTGTTGAAGAACCCTTGGACCTTCAGTTCCTTGAGAAAGGACTTTGAGCTGGGGGGTTTGACGGTATTCTTGACGCAGAGGGCCATGTTGAACTGATGTCTAAGCCTCTGACAGCATTAAATATCTATTTATTTCTGTGGTGGCCAAACTCTGGTGTTCTGGCCCCAGAAGACCGGGCTGAGCGATTCTTTCCCACGTGTTGCATGTCACTGTGGTGCTGGGCAGCGGGACTGAAAGCAAGGAGAGATGCAGTGGAGACCAGCAAGGAGCAGGAGTAAAGAGGTTGGGGTGTCGTGATGGGGAGCCCAGGGAACTGTCCCGTCAGTAAGCCAGGTAATGTGTAGTTATAAAGCATGAAAAAGCCATCTGGTATTAATTTTTTGTTCATCTTAAGTACTCGCCACAGTCACTAATGCAGGGTTTGTGTGTATCGTGCGTGCATCCTAGATGGCAGCATGGTCAGAGCCATTTTCCTTTCGGTTTGAGACCTGCAGTCTGCTGCCCTGCTCTCCTGAGTCATCCCCGGACATCCCCAGTTCACAGAAGGAAACTGGAGCCGTGTCCTAACAGAAGTAAGTTGATCTGAGTAGGATAGCCGTGCTGCCTGGGAGGAGGGTGCTGTCAGCAGGACGTGCGGAGCAGCTGAGGGGCTGCTTCCCCAGGCTTCGTGTCGTGCAGCAAGGACACAGCTACCAGATGCTGTGTGGTTTAACGCAGCAGGTACAGGAGGAAAAGTGAAAGAGCTTTTCCTTTTTCCCCTCTGGCCTCGCTCCAGCTGAACCTCACGGCTGACATGTTCTGTTGCATTGTGTATCCTCAGCTGAGTAACAGCCCCCACGCACTTCACTGAGACTTCAGATTTTAGTTTCTGTTCCTCTATTGCCAGTGAGCCGCGGGAGGGAGGGCAGCAGGGAGGGAACACGCAGAGCAGGCTTTTGCTGGGGGCTGGAGTTTCGCTGGAGCAGATCCGAGATGCCAACAGCAGTGGGGCTGCAAGCCAGCCCCTTCTCCACCCGGACACACGGCTCCCTTCCACCTGCAGCCCATCACCGGGAGCTGATCACGTTCTGTCGAGTGAAATTTTTGATGTAATATGCCCCCTTTGTCTGCTTCTGATTAAAATTTTTACTCTGTCCCCGTAAATCCCGTAGCTTTATACCTGTATTGGCACTGCCGGTGGATTTTGTTTCTAGGTTTTTGAGTTTCGTACTCCATATTTATCATCTGAGGAGCTGCACGTTGTGGTTTCTCTAACGATGGAGCTGAATCCCCGTCTGATGGCTGGCTGGCAGCGACTGTAATCGCTACCACGTATGGGACCTTGTGAGCGTGCCTCCTTTGGCCTTTATCTCTTCCATCCTGCCTCTGGGTGCCTCCGGGAATAAGGAGTGCTCACAGAACTTTCTTCCAAGCTTTATTAACCAGATTTGGATATCTTCAAATAAGCTTGTTGGCCTCTGTAGGAAATTGCAGAGTAGAGACATCAATCAGCCGCCCAGGCGGTGGGTGTCGCGTCTCGGGGCAGAATGTAAACTTACCGCTAACTCTCCCTGAGCTCCTCCCCACAAAAAGAGAAAAAGATTCCTTTCATCCAGACCCCTTCTCCAAGTTAATGCGGGGAGGACATTTATGATTAATCTCTCACCAGTTACACTGCTCGTGGAAGTCAACTCTTATTATAGGCTGCTGGAGATTCCTGGTTTTGATGAGAGACAAACTGGGATTTATTGAACTAAGTTGGCATTTCTCACTTGGGTGTAACACCAGTGAAAGTAAAGACATAACGCTTGAAAGAAAAAGCCTGAAATGTTAGAATATTTTGAAAAAGCTTTATCCGTGTTTACATCTTCATTAAAACTTTTCCACTGTTAACATTGATAGGAGACAGAACCAAGAGCTGCCATCCAAACTTTTGTGATAAAAATAAAGCAACTGCTTGTTTTTTTCTTCTTGCCTACTTCAGAAGAATATTTTAGAAGTTGCTTGTTTGTGTATATAAAGAACCTTGAAGACTTAGTGCTGTGCAGAGGTACTGCTTCTCCCAAGCAGCCTGGAAAGTGCACTACTGTGTGATCTCTCCTTTTTGAGTGTGCTCAACAGAGAAGAGGGGCTAACAAAAGAAGGGTACACACTGGGTTCACTTTAAAGTTATCTCAGCAGTTAGTGCGACTACGGATTCTCCAGCATCTCAGCAGCATAACACTTGAGCAAGAGGGTCACCGTGACCGCTGCTCGTCTTGCTGTGCTGTTTGACTCACTATTTACTTATTTTGCCTATGTCAGGTTTCGTTTTCAAACTGTGTACGATACAAACTTGAAATAGCAGGCGTTTTCTGGAGAAAAACATAAATACAATGTCATATGTGGAATCATTCATACTGAAAAGTATTAATGAGCTAAGATCCCAGCTAAGCATGTCAATGTGTTACGTGAGGCATTATTTTTAATTTTTATTAGTAACAAAATGTATCAGTTACTTAATAATAAATCAGTTATTAATAAGCAATAAAATGTGGATATCTAGGACTTTTCAAGGCAAAAAGACTGTGAGCTCAGGCATTTTTCTTTCACACTTTCTGAATTGCTCAGTAACCCACAAATCCATAGGCAGTTGAAGAGGTCTGTCTATACAGAGCGCATTACTGGATAGGGGTAATAAAGCTGGATGACTCGGCGATGATAAAAATCTGTTTCTCTTTCCTTTTGAAATAGAAAGCGTGATTTTATTCATGAAACAAAAATCAAATACAATGCTATCTTACCATTGTATTAAAATAAACTGGTAGGAACAAACAAAACATTTTTATTGTCTCAGCTGATCTTAGTGAAAATCAGTTCCAGTCAGTAGGTTTACACCACGTAGTCAGTGTGTATGAGATCAGTCTGATCTAGAGGGTTCATGGCTTTTGGTTTTCTTTTTCTCTTTTTCTTTTTTTTTTTCCCCCACAAACTTTTGAAGCTAATATCCCTTTTTGGTTTAGTACTGAAGTAGTTCTGTGCTCCAAACAAACAAACAAACAAACAAAAAAAAAACACACAAAACCACAAACAACCTGGATATATTATGTGTTTTGAAAGGGTTTTCCTTTCTACAACCAACATTATGAGGATTCTTTTTTTGTATATTTTTAGTGAATTGTAAATTATTGCATGTTTCGTATGATAGCAGTCATTTGCAAGAGCTGAAACTAAACCTTAGTTTCTACTATTTCTTCTTGGTTCTCCTGCTTCTCGTGACTTTATGAAAATTACCTTCATGAGTTATATTGTGCTGAAGAGGTGATTTGATTGCTGATCTCATTCCACTTTTCAGAGTCGTGATGCATCATCTGGTTAGCTAGAGATGACGGGTCTTGAAGAATTCTCAGCTAAGGGCAAAGTCTGGTGAATAATTGTCTAATTAAGTAGACTGAAAAAAAATAAAGAAAAAAAAGATAATGCCATGTGATAGTGTCATTGTCTATATTCCTGGGCTTAGGAGCAGTGGAGGAGCTGCAATAGCACATGCTCCTAAAAGATAGGAGCTAGTATCCCCTGCTGTCATTTTTATTGCCAGCCAAATCCTTTCCTTCACTTAATCACAGATAGAGAATATTTTTTCTTCACAAAGCGATTGCATAACCCATTTATAGTTGCAGATTTACCTCTGTATGGATTCAAATTGCTGGCTGTGCACATGAAATCTGTCTCTTAAGGCTTTTGATGCTACTGCTTGATAGTCTATTTAAGTTGCTAAATATAAACTTAGCAGTGGTCTGCTGACATAATAAGACTAATGAGAGATGATAGAAAAATGCAGGCAGCTGTAGGAGTAACAGGGAAGTTTAAGTGGGGAATGTTAACACTCCTCGTGGAAAGGAGGAGCGGTATTTTCATGTACATGAAGTGTCTCCAACAGCACTTTAAAGACTGCTTTGAAAATCCAAAGAGAGAATAGTTTCCTGTAGTTCTAGGTAGGCTGCAGTTCAAGTATCCCCTATTCATGCCACAAGTACTGTTGAAATATTTTTCTATTAATTCCAGCTGCGATACTAAGAATTTGAAGGGCCGGAGCTGGGGAATGCAGTTTGGTGTTTGAACAGGCTGTGACAAGCGGGTTAGACCAAGCAATGGCTCATTAGTGCTTTTCAGCAGCCTTTTGAAATGGAAGAGGAAATACATGACTGTGATGGAAGGAACAGCGTCCTCTGCTCTCCAGCGAGGTGTCTGGATCGTGATGTGCTGGAACGTGGTTTCCTTACAGAAGAAGGGCCGCTCTTCACTCCTGCTTCAGGAAAAGCAGGAGCCCTCGTTGAAGGAAATCTATTGATCATATTTTGTTTCATCTCTGTGGCCTAAGCACTGACAAAAATCCATCTCCAAGGAATTACTGTCAGAACTCTTCTTACCTTCAGTTCTCCTAGCCACTAGGTAAGGAACTCAGTGTCTAGGCTCAGTTTTGAGACATAGGAGAAGGTCTGTGGGAACAATTCTGACTTGCACCCAATTACCTCGGGTATGAAAGGGCAGGAATGTATGCAGAAACTCGGGGTTAAGGGGCGAATCCTTTGAGACGTTCAGCAAATACCATCTAGGCAGTGTCTGCCTCCAGAAGCGTGTCTGATGTGACACTGGTTAATGTGTCCCATGGAGCGGGACGGAGAGGGAGCAGGGCGTGTTGAGATAGCATTGTCTCTGGAAATAAGCACATCATAAGGCCTTGGAAAAGACTGCCATTGCCTTTGTGGTTTGTTCTTTTCAGGGCACTGAGCGATGCTATATTTGTACAGTGAAAAAATGAGAATCTGGTCCCTTCTCTTGCTTTCTTTATGCTTGTTTTATACGGGAACATGAAAGAGCTGATGTGCTGGTTCAGATCGGATGTCCAGAAAGCCCACTCCTGGCAGCGGTCAGGAACATATGCGTAGGCAGATAAGAACCAGGCACTCCTCTTCTGGCACATCCTCCCAGTTCCTGGCAGCTTTTAATGATTTAGAGCCTTCCTGGTGGCACTGGTCAGGCCTCCAGAAGGGATGTCAATCTACACGGCTGGAGCCTGTCCCTCTGCTGTTTCCAGACAGGCTTGTGCTTGTGAACCTGTCAGGCAAAGTACTTTATTGTCCATACAAAAAAAATATTTTTTTTTAGAGAACATAGTACATGAAATACTATAAATAAAGCAAATAGTTCTGTACTGTGCAGGCAAGGACTTTGGGTATTCAGTTCTCTTCTTTGTTTTCCTTAAAAAATATAAAGTGAGGTGAATTAGTCTGACAGAAATTTTTCATGCATGTATTTCATATTTAACTCACAATGTGTAGTAAATAAATGTACTTAAAATATCTGTAAAGTGTACATCCTAATTTGCTGTACCATTTATATTCTAAGAAAAAGGAAGTATTAAACCCTTTCTGACACAAGTGATCAGCCAGTATTCGGGGCCTAATAGGTTGCTACAGGGAGCAGACCGTGTGATTAATTCAGGCAGTTCGGTGCGATTCTGTTTGTCGCTGAAGAAAACCTGCACACTGGAGGAATTCAGCGGCAGGGGCTGGGCTCCAGCCACCTCCAGTCTCAACCACTTTCCCCGTTCCCAGACAGTCCCTCGCTGTCTCTTCCTGCCGGTCTCTGTAATGTCACCGAGCAGCACGTGCCCTGCTCCCCTTCTCCCCAGTTCTCTTAGGACAATATTGAGGCTCCTGCTCTTGAGCTCTTGTTCCACCCATCCATGCCCGAGAGCTGAACTGCCGCTCGCTGCTCCCGATGAGGGACGTTTCTCACGGCCAGCACCCTCGGGGAGGTTTCAGTCAGTCCCCAGCACAACAAACACTGTCTTGGTCTCAGACAGCCAGGGAGTGGCTCACGGAGTACTTGCGTTCAGGAGGATTTGGGCCAAGTCTCTGAAACAGATTAGTCGTAAAATTAGATTAATCAGACAAAGGAAGCCATATCCTGGTATCGTGGTGAGAGCTGGGCTTGTCTGTAAGTGCCCAAAGGGGAGGTGGGAGCATAGGAAGGGGCGTACGGCACGGCAAGGGACATCGGCTGCAGCCTGGGGCTTCAGGCTGGGCGTCAGGAGCAGCTTTGTCAGCAGAGCACAGCACAGGCAGAGGCTGCCAGGGGCTGGGGGAGCCTCCATCCCCAGAGCTCGACAAGACCTGGCTGGATAAACCCTCAGGCCATCTCTGCTGGCTTTGTCAGCAGCAGGCCGCACCAGCAGCCTCCAGAGGTCCCTCCCAGGCTGAGCCTGGCTGAGTCACGCTGAGAACGTGGTGAAGCTTGGTAAGAACAAAAATGCTTCAATCTGCGATACCTGCAGCTCGCTGCTGGTACGTGTGTGGGTATTTCTGGTCAGCAGGACTCGAGGGCAGCATGTGCAGCCTACACAGCCTTTCCGCTTCTCAGGGAGCGTGAAGGGGGCTGCCCCAGCAGGTCTTTCTCATCGGTGACCAGTATAATGAGTCAGAGCTTGTTGTCTTTAAACCAAAATATCTGCCAGTTTCTTCCCCAAAGCAAGCTTAGATGAAGGGAAAACAAAACTACTTTTTCCCTGTGCTGTTTTTATGTACTGTAGTGCAGTGATGTGGTGAAAAGCGGCAGTCGCGCTTGTTTTGGTACAACTTGTCTGTTCCCGGACGGGCAGTGGGAAAGGGGCTGTATTTCTGAAACAGGGGGCAGAAAAACTTCGTAGGCATGCATTTATTCTGAGGTAGGCACAGTCATTTTAGACCAGAGACTTGGCGGTACGGGGTACATTCATACCGTGACCAGCACTGAGGTAGAGCTGAGCTGTGAGTTTCTGCCCGCCAGCCCCTGAGCTGAGCTGGTGCTGCTACAGCAGAAGGGGCTCCAGCCGCCCCTGGGGTCTGCATGTCTACAGCAATGGGTGTGTGTGGTGCCCGGGGACCTCTCCAGAAACTGCATTACTGGCAGGTAGTCTTCCTTTTCTCACGTGTGCAGAAGGCACTGAGCTTTTATTTAGATGAAACCAAAGCTTTCAGAAAGTATCTTGGATTATATTTTTTTTTAGCAAGATTTGCAGGAAAAGTAGAAAATTACATAGCTTCATCATGCATGCTTCTGAACTGATATCATTGTGAATCTGTTACAAATTAGCCGGAAAATTGATGTCTTCCAGAGTGGCTGCTTACCCAACGTGGGTGTAGTTCACAATGGGTGGTTGTCTTGTTGTCTTTTTCTTTCTTCCTTTCCTTTTTTTTTTTTTTTTTTTTCTCTGAAGACTTTACTAGTTGTTGCTATTTGCAAACCAGAAACTGGGACCTTCACTGAACACTATGCCATTGGAAAGGACGCAAACTGGGTGGCTAAATTTCTTAAACCCATTTCTAGGCAGACTCTATGCTCTCTGTTCTCCACTGTGGACTGTATGTCTTGGAATTTGCCCAAACAGGAGGAAACAGCGACCAGCTGTGGTTCTTCAAGGTGCCTTTTCTTTGTGCATCTTCCATGCTGTGCCTCCTTGGTCTCTGTCTGTATCACAGCAGAGCCTCCCCTCATGGAGAATATGATACTGCTGAGATGCAGAGGTGGAGGTGAGGCGCCCTCTCCTCTCATCCATCTTTTTTACCTGCTTGAAGGCAGGGCTGGCTGCACATGCTGCCCGAAAGGTTACTGTTGACTCAAAACCTCTGCCGCCAGAGAACAAAAAGGTTCAAGAGCCACAGCTGGCCTCAAGGATGGGCCCCAGAGAACCTTCCTTGCTCTGTTATTTCATGAAATAGGCATCTAGTCACCAAAGAAGGTCTCTAATTATTACATTTTTGAAAGGAATGTTCATAGAAAAGAGTAAAGTTTTGTTAAAAGGTTAGTTTTTCTCTGATAAATACAGTGAGGTCTTATCTTATCTTGGTCAAAAGACTTGCTACACTGAATTTCTGAATCTTTTTTCCCCTCCCATAATGAATAGTTTAAAAAAAAAAAAAAGGAACAAAACAAACGCTAACAGTTCTTTAAAAGGAGGGACTAATGACAGTAAGAACAATCAAACTATTTTCTAAGGTTTCACCTACTAGCCAGTAAAAGCTGTCTTTTCTTGTTTGCTGACTGGAGTATGCTGGCCGGTGTCTGGAAGGTGGCTAGTATGCACCTAAGAATTCACAACACCAAACTGCTTTTGATGCTATGAAAAATTACTCTGGAACTAAGATTGGTGTCTGTGGTAAGATGTAACGTGAATCACAAGGATAGATAATGTTAAACACAAACAATACTGAGATGTATTTGGACTGAAGATTCTTCAAAATGTGATGCTACTTAAAATGTTAAAACGAGTATCAATACTACAACGCAGGAATGCTTTTTGTTCCGTGTTTTACAATAAGCTTTATTTTCCTTACTGGAGAATGCTTTTATAGAAGTATTTGAATATAGTGTTTTCTTTATTCAGTAAGTTTTCAGCTGAAGTTTCCATTTGTGTTACCATTCCCCATGTTAGTTTCCTCAGTTTTCCTGTGTCCTTCAAACTCGGTAGAAGTCTGTGTTCCGTAGTCCCTGTGGGTGTGGGTCTGGTCCCTCAGACTTTCTACTAACAGCTCCTGTTGACTTTGGTGGGAACTCTCTCTAGAGAAGACTTGC